AAGCACAAATAATTAAAAATTACAGAAAACACAGGTTTTAAGAGAGCTTTAGAAAAGTATCAAGTAGCAACACCTTGTGGACTTCAACAGATATGAATTCATTCTGTAACTCCAATAAGCCTATATAAAACCGGTGTGTTTATAAAATAACACTCCAGTTTTAACTGTATTTAGTTATATAATTGTAATCGATCAATAAAACTATATGTGCAAACGAAATTTTAAGAAAACTATCTCCGTGTAAATTTGAATTCATTCCTATTGAACAGATTCATTTTAAATTGTTAGGATTTTTTCACCCAAGTGGCTGTAAGAACTGCTTAATTAAGACTGCTTTACAGATTAATACGTGCATTTTATCTATCCAGCCAATAGCTGCTCTTTTTCATGCCTCACCGCAAGTTTCTTCACGAGCTGCTTTCCATCATCTTCAAGCAATGCAAGGAAAGCACTCCAAATTTTAGCGCGGGTTATCTCTGGCTAGTTATTGGCTGCTTTTGAGGGGCTCCCATAGCGTACTTTGTAGGAGAAAGACTTGGCAGTCAAAATTTAGGAAGAGTCTGATAGCAGTTTTTCCGACTAACATGTGTCATTATCAGCTGCATTAAAGTGGGTGTTTTGGCAACCGATGGCAACCTCCACCGATGGCGATCTTCCTTGTCATAGAAACAGCAGGAGACTTTTGGCTCTTCGGAAAAGGATCGTAGGTCTTGTTATGGGAAACAGGTATGTCTACATGTTTTCGTCCCTCGGCATGAAACGCTATCAACGATCAGAAACATTCATTTACAGTCCAGGGGTGGGGAACTATGGCCCCTTTATGACTTGTGGACTTCAACTCCCAGAATTCCTGAGCCAGCATGGCTGGCTCAGGAATTCTGGGAGTTGAAGTCCACAAGTCATAAAGGGGCCATAGTTCCCCAGCCTCTGATTTACATCCACGCCCACATCCACAGTCCGTTTAAGAAGGGAATAGTGATTACGTGACTAGAGCGTCCGGGCGGATCAAGGACTTCCGGGCCAGGAAGGGTACGATCCTTCCAAAAAATGGCGCCGTTCAATCAATTCTTCAGGTGAGAGTTGCCGTTGTGATATTTTTAAAGAGTAACAAATGTATCGCGGTATTTAATTTGCCAGATTCCATTCCTATCATCAAATGCGAGGACTACCTACTTGAAACTGCCGAGGTAGCGTTTTAATCGTGAAGCGGAAACTGCAGGGAAACCTCTCATAGTCTGATTTATTCGCCCAGCTGTATATAGGTGTTGTAGGGCGTTTTGCATTTTTCTTCTAAAAGCTAAAAATTGATGCGAAAGAGACTTAAGCCAATAAGTGCAACCTACTGCTCAAAGAAAGGCAAAATGGTACGCCAAGTTGCTTCGTGCTCCTTTTTTTTATTCTTCAACTGTATGAATTTGGCAGATCAGCCTTTTGCCTCTTTTCCACTGAAAGGCGTACCATTTTACCGAGATGCTCCCACCATTGAGAACAGAGGATCTCGATTCAAGAGTAAGTAGCAATCACAGTGATAGATCTGCATGTCAGTCAACCTGTCTTGCATAAACCTCTCAGATACCCTTATTAGAGAATGCCTTGAAATCGAATCCTTTCCATTGTGAACACAAACGAGCAAGTCGATATCATCATTTATTTTGGTGTTGTGGTGAAGGTGCTGGGCCAGAAAACTAGGAAGCTGTAGTTCTAGGCCTCCTTTCTGCATGAAAGCTGGCTGGGTGACGACCAATTACTTTTCCGCAGCCCAGCTCACTTGACAAAATGTTGTGGGGAAAATAGGAAGTGGGAGTATTAGGATGTTCATAGCCTTTTGAGATAATAATCTCAATCTCTTGATGCTATATTTAAACATACACAGACCTGAAAAGCCCATTCTCTTGTCACAGCTACATTGCTGAATACATATAAAAGCTGTAGACCAACTCTACAGGTAGCCCTTACATAGTACAGTAGATGGTTTCTTGATAAAAAATATATTATGCAGTATGGTTGAACCTATAAAATCTGTGGATATGTACTGGTTTTGAAAGCTGGCTAAAATAAAGAGTTGCCACTGATCTTCTCCATCTGTGTAGGAGAATACCCCTTTATGATAACTGGTGAGATAACAAATACATTTCTTAATAGGGGATCAAATAAAATGATTTTCTTTTTCTACCTTTTTTGTAAAATTTATGTTCTGCTCTGTGGATGGTGTTCTTGCACTTTGGCCCTCACGGCTGATTTATTTAAACAGATGACAGCATTAATGTATGTTATTAATGAGAATACAATCATTTCAAGCATTGTTTATCTTTTCTAAGTTTCTGAATAGTTTCCAGAGCTCCGTACGGCATGTTAAGGCTATATTTCAATGTTCCATCTTTTTTTTCCCCTCCAGATTGCTCTATTCATTGTTTATACCTGCCATGATATTAAGTGGAGGTTTATTTCTCTGTCTGTTGCTTCTACTCTGTGGTTTACGATTCTGGCTTCAACGACGGAGAAATCTGCTAATGTCTCCAGGGAATGATGGGAAAAGGCCTCTTGTAGTTGCATTTTTCCATCCATATTGTAATGCTGGTGGTGGTGGAGAAAGAGTGCTATGGTGTGCTTTGAGAGCTTTACAGAAAAAGTAAGTAAACACATTTTCATGCTTAGCTGTATTATTGTATCTTTTGTATTTGGAGCCTATCTTCTGGATTATTGGCTATTCCTGCCAGCTTGGTGTCATCTGCAAATTTGATGAGTTCCCCTTCTAGCCCCTTGTCTAAATCATTGATGAAGATATTGAAGAATACTGATAAAGATATTGAAGAGTAGTTCAGTTTTGAATCAAATGTATATAATTAACTAGACAACTCACACTCTGTTGGGTCATTGTTTCAAACACATTTCCTTACCTAAATAGAGAAATAGAACAACCAAGGGCAGGCAAAAAAAACCAGTGGGTGTAAAAGTGACTTCTGACTTCTTGTGGGAATCTGGCAGGGAGCATTGGAAATCCCCTCCCCTCCAGGCAACTAAATGACTGATGCTAGATGGGAGAGGGAACAAGGGATTGTGAGCTGGTTGGGAAACTGTCACAGAACATTGAAAATGAAGATCATGTGACCGCAACAGCAATGCAGTAGCAGCACTGAAGCAGCCAAAACTTCCCCAAATTTCATTCCCTTGAGAGTCACAGGTCCCAGATTTTGGACACAATTTGTAAGTTAGCCCATTTGAGGTACCTTGATTAAAAACTGGTTGCCCTATTGCTGTCCCAGCCCAACACTAAGTTCATTGCCTCGTGTGCCCATGCCCAACACTGAAGTAGAAATTGAAAACAAAAGTTTATTTTGAGTGACAATGGGAAATCTCCCTCAAAGCTGTTGTAACCCATCAATGTCCCATGATGGCTTTTATACAGCAATTACCATTATTTCACCCAGTTAAAGGTCACGACAATGAACATTTTAGTAGTATATCACATGAGGCCATTCTCAGACAACAGTGAATACATTTAAGGAAAAACCCTAAGACCATGCTTAGGTATACATTGTCACAAACCTAATTTAGAATTTATTTTAACATATATGATTAAAATATAATTTAGAACATACACACTTACAAACATTTGTCTGTCTGTCTCTATCCCTTTTGTGAGGTGGGCCTTATAAAAACTTGTGTGATGCCCTAAAATGGATTGGAGCTGATATAGCATATAATTTCTTCTTAAGAAACCAACTATAGAACTATGCTATGGAGGGTAGTGTGACAGTATAATTAATCATATTTCCTCATTTAAAAGATTTGTAAATAAAAAGACTAGCAATCAACAAGGGATTTTTGTAGCTGGGAGCTACTTAGATTAATTACTCATAACTTCATTCATGTAGTCCCTTCATTTGTTAATTTTTTTGGAGGGGGGAGCTTCTCCAGAGCTTGATAGGGAAAGCTGTTGGGAGTGACTTTTAAATATCCAGGTATTATATAGCATTAAGCTGTGGATTTAAAATTGGCCAAAAAGAGAACAAAATGTTGTCTGCATCTGAAATATTTTAATAGGAAAACTTTATTTCCAGGTACAAGGATGCCTCCTATATTGTCTACACGGGTGATACTGGTGCTACAGCTGAGAATATTCTTGAAGGTGCATACAGGCGATTCAACATCAGACTGAAATATCCTGTGAAGTTCGTGTTCTTGAATAGGCGCCACTTAGTAGAAGCTTCCTGTTATCCATATTTCACTCTGTTGGGTCAGAGCTTAGGATCTCTGTTTCTTGGCTGGGAAGCTCTTACAAAGTGTATCCCAGATATTTACATTGACTCCATGGGTTATGCATTCACACTTCCTCTCTTTAAATATCTGGGAGGTTGCAGAATAGGATGTTATGTTCACTATCCTACAATCAGTACTGATATGCTTTCCGTGGTCAGAAATCAGCATGCGCAATTTAATAATGCAGCCATTATCACAAAAAATCCCCTTTTAAGTAAAATGAAACTTGTATATTATTACTTTTTTGCGTCCGTATATGGGTTAGTTGGTTCTTGTAGTGACACTGTCATGGTTAATTCTACATGGACTCTCAATCACATTCTTTCCCTCTGGAGGTGTAGCGACCGCACAAGCATTGTGTATCCACCTTGTGATGTACAGACTTTCCTGGATATTCCACTACAAGAAGAAAGCAGGATTATAAAACCAACAATTGTTTCTATAAGCCAATTCAGGCCAGAGAAAGACCACTCCCTGCAGATTAGAGCCTTTGCTAAATTGTTGGCAAAAACTGAAGGACAGCAACTATTGCCAAAGCTTATTTTGATTGGGGGCTGTCGTAACCTAGAAGATAACCAGCGTGTAGATGAACTTAAGAAGCTCTGTCTAGAGTTAGGCATTGAAAAAAAGGTGGAATTCAAAATTAATATTCCATTCGAAGAACTAAAGAGGCATCTGGCTGATGCAACTATTGGGCTTCACACCATGTGGAATGAACATTTTGGAATTGGTAGGTATTTTTGTGTCTGTTCTATAAACTGCTACTTAGAAAATTTTGGTCAGTAAAATAGATTGTGTAATTAAGATTTAATTTGCATTTTCAGATCAATATGGCATACTCTCCTCAATATTACCTCAAATTGACATGGTGATTCACTATACTGCCTGACCTAAAATGGTCCTTGTATATAAACTGCCATGAATACTTGCTATTAATAACCAGATACTGTATTCTCATCAAGATTTTATGTGATTATCTCAGGTTTTCTCTCTTCACTCATAGTCCTAAAAAGTAGCAAATAATACTTGTTATGATTCACATAATGTCATAAACATTATACATGATTAACTCTGAAATTTGTTTAATATTTTTGATATTCATGGCCAAATTGTCAGCTCTCTTAAATACTGAAACTGAATACTTAGGAATTTTAAATAAGACATAAAGACCAACAAGTAAGAGGCAATTGTTCCAGAAACCCATAACAGTGAAATGTTTGATAGGAGAGGTACACTAGTATGCTGCAACATATTGAATATTTCTCTGAAATTTATTTAATAGTATCTATAGCCTGCCCCAATTGTGCAAACTGAGAAGTAACCAATATTAGATCAGTTCAGTATATAAACACAATGTTCATATAAGAATACATCCAGTACATTTGAATTGAACTCAGGCTTATTAGCAACCAATAGTAGGGCCTCAAAATAGTGTTACTCCGCCCTACCAAGTTCTTCTACTCAATCTAGACACTACAGTACATTCTGTATCTCTTGTAGCTTCTGCGTTGTCTTCAAAGGTACAGAGTGCAGGATTTACTGTTGCCACAGCATTGTTCTTCAGATAGGACTGTAAATGTTGCCAAAGCTGGATAAAGCTTCTTTTGTCCATGGTCTCCCCTTACTGTTGAAGCAAGAGCTGCCAGTCAAGGAGACATGTCTTTAAATTTCCTCTGAGTAATTTACTTGGATTTTGTGACTGCAGGATCAGGACTTGAATCTTAGGACAAACAGAAATGTACTCTGATGACTATTTTTTAGAAAGCATTCTTTACCTGGCTGTTTTCAAATTTGCACCACTTTTCTGGTGCAAGAGGGACATGTGCTACTTTAAAATCAGAAAAAATAGGAGTCTAAATTGTGCCTTTTCTTTTCTATGCAAAGTTGCAATAAAGAATGGCATTCTTGATTAAGAAAGAATGAAAGAACCACAGTATTAACAGCAATCTGTTCTATGTCTTATAGGAATTGTTGAATGTATGGCAGCTGGCACAATTATTCTTGCTCACAATTCTGGAGGCCCAAAATTAGATATTGTGGTACCCTATGAAAGAAATACTACTGGATTTCTAGCAGAAGATGAAGATGGCTATGCAGACTCTATGGCTCATATCTTTTCATTATCTCCTGCCAAAAAGCTGCAGATCAGACAAAGTGCTCGTGAATCTGTGAAGAGGTTTGCTGATCAAGAATTTGAGAAAACATTCCTATTATCTGTAGAGCAGCTATTTAAATAAATTATTTTGCTTATAAATATATGACATACTTGAGTTATTATGGCACTACAAATTATACATGTTCTACATTTCTATAGTGCAATAAAGATTTTAATCTTTAAATACTGAAGATATCCTGATAGAGCACATTTCTTTGACAGATTTTTATTTTATAATGTCATAGTATTTAAGGTCCCACTTAATCTTCCAAAAATTATCACAAAATATCCAATGTTCAATAGTGATTACCTAATTCTTGTCATAATAGCATTGAACATACCTTTTAATGAATTAATTGTATAAAGTCTTAAATCTATTTCATCATTTTAATTCTTCCCATAATCTATTCTATATAATTCATCCAAGATTGAATACCTAAAACTTCATTACAGATCAACAGTCAAAATAATGTTTATTGAAAAATGTGTCCTTTGAAACCATCCAAATTGTACATTATCTGAAGCTGTCAGATAGCATATATGATAATGACCTCAGAAAAATCAATTTATATATGTTTTGGTTTTTTTTAAAGGATTGCTGAGGCATATAGAACTGAATTCCCCACTTATAAAATTAGTACATTCAACGAAATTAGGTTAAAATAATCTTAACTTTTGCTGTCATACTGAGATATATTTCTTCCATTGGAGAATTCAAATACTTAAGCTCCCTCGCCAACAAAAGAAGTAGTCCAGCCCAGATCCAGGTTTACCATTTTATTGAGAATTAGATCTAGATTAAGTTAAGATCTGTTTTCATCCAAAAAATGAAACGTGATGAGTAGTGAAGCTCTATATTTATTGGTGTTATAAATTTGGTTATTGAGGTGCATCCTTGAAAGTATCTCTAAACTGACAGTTTATTAATGGCAAAGAAATATATACAAACCAAGAGAGAGAAGAATTCCAGCTCTAGAGATTTTTACTTTGGTATGCTAGGCTACTGTGTAAAATTTATAACGAAAATATTAAGCACCCACTTTCTAAACTCTGGTCTTAACATGTATACAATTGGTTATTATTAATTCTTAAGTATTTATTACCCAAGAATGTGTTAACTGATTGCACTTTGTTTTTCTCCAGCCAAGTCATTATTATTTTCCAAACTCTCATTAGATTTACTAAATTTGCTACCGTCTGTAGATTGTTTTTGTTGTTCCAGGTTTGCCGATTCAACTGGACTTTTTGAAATTTCCTCCTCTAGAGATGTTACCACATTTTCTAAAGATTCCACTAGCTCATCTCTCAGTTCATCTTCAGATTCTTCAAAGTTTCTGGACAAGACAAAAAAATAGTGTTTAATTTTATTAAATTATCAAAACACGACGTTTACAAAGAGGGTAGCACTTCATAAGATCTATATAACAGGCTTTATTGAATGCAGAATCTGAAAGGATTATGATTTGGGCAGAATTGTCAAAATGATATTTATACAAAGACATGCACTAATAGATCCATTCAATAAACAATATCACATCTCTATAGCAGTCTATTATTGGTGTATATATTTGAATCCATTGTAAATAGAAAACTAGAGTGATACAGTGTCACTGTGAGGGCCTTTAGTTATCCAAATTCATAGCTCCATACAATTCCACCCAACTAATAAACAATGGGCATGCAGTGTTATCTTAGTGGAATTTATTATCTAGATGAATTATCTATGTGCAGTGTACTGTTTTATAAGCCCATTCATACAATTAATTTTGAATGCTGCAGTTGGGAATTGATTAGATAACTGTAAAATGTAACCCATCGCAACAGCTTACTAATCACTCATATTTTGATTCAATCATCAATTTATTCATCCTCAGTTAAACTTATATTAAAACATGAGTTCAGTTGTGGGTGGGCTGATAGAACTTGTTTCTGATTGGCAGTATTTTAATTTATTGTTTTGTTTCAATACATGTATTTGACATGATTGTCATTCTCAGCTTTTGTGTACAGATATTAAAATCTAGGCTGTTAGTTAAAAAATGTGTGCTGAACAAAAGATTGTATGAACAACTTTTCAAAGGGCCAAGTTATACATCCAGCTGTTGTAATAACTTACGTATCTTCATCATCCGAACTTGGATCAAGTTTACTTTCATCTGGGTTAGCAGCCAAATTAACATCTGGAGCATCTTTAGTAGATTCTGGAATCTCATGATTTATTGTTTCTTCTGAAAGAATAGTATTTTCATTTCATAGTGTTGTCATATACCAAGCTTCATATATCATTTCATGAAATGTACCAAGATAGCTTGAACTACTACCAAATATATATTGTATTAAAAATAAAAGTTCTATAGAGTAGGATGGAGGACTGCTTTCATATTCACAAGTCTATACTAATTTTATATAAATGTACTCCTTATTTCATCTTATTCTTGCTTTGCTAAAATATTATGTGCTTAAATTTGATTTGTTGAATATCCCACAACTGACTAAACAATAAATCATGGTTTATATAATTTACAAGCTAAAGTGGCAGAGCTCACACACTACACTTAAAACCAAACATTATGGCTTAAGTTGACAAGTGAATCCAATTGATGCGTAAATTGGCAGTTTTACCTTTAACTTTGAATGTAATATTTCCATTGCTGACCTGTCAGGACTGACTCTGCTTAATTAAAACTTGTTGTCCCTAAACAAAAGGTCTTAGCTTTTAACGGGAAAATATTTGATATATTCATATTTGACTTAGTGTTTTAACATCTATCTAGGCTGTATTTAGTAAGCTATTAAAATTGTTTGTCAACACAGTATAGACATTAGCTTCTATTTTCTGCCATTTGCTATCTCCAAAAAATAGTGAAAGTGACTGTGTTGTTCATTGGTTACATAAGAGTCTTAAAATTCCTAACCAATTTTAATGATTCGTCCATTTATTCCATTTAGTATAACTATCTAATTACTTAGAAACAAGCATCAATAGCTTCCATGGAACTTAACTCCCAGAAAAAGTGAGATGAAAAATTAAAAAGATGTTATCAACAAAATATCTTTTTTCTAAAAGGTATTTTTTTAAGTAAATTAATTATATGGCCTAATGATTGGTGATTCACTCTCCTGCATATATAAAAAATCCCATCATTCTAATAGAATGCAAAAATCTATAAGAAAATAAGACTGCTGCCTCATGTAAAAACTCAAATAAATATTGCTGGTTTAAAGTTACATCATCATTGTAATTAATATAATTGTGTGTACATACATACATACATACATATATACATACATATATATATATATGAAGTGTATGTGTGTATTGTTGCTTACAAGCAGGCAAATGATTTTGATTTCATTTTTATTAAATGACTTTTATAATTTTTGCATGCACATAACATTTAGAAATTACTTTTACAGTATTTAGATACATTCCTGTCATATTTTTAATTAATTTAATTCTTTATATTTATTCCTCCTATCCTCTTAGAATAACCTCTCTTAGGATGAGGGTTATGCACATTTACTTCGCTGTGCACAACCTTCCTCTTTCCTTCTTGGAATATTCCAAATATATTCTTTATAATCCCCTAGCCTAGGACATTACAGCAGAAATTGGGGAAGTGAGGAAATAATGGAAGAAGTATCTATTCCACTTTTCCACCTATACATGGACACCAGTGGATACAAATCTTAGATGCCACTCTAGTTTTAGTCTAGTTCAACCTGTTGTGCAGAGATATCCTTATTTATTGCACTAATTGTTAAATAAAAATTCAACATTAACTTCAAATAATAAAAGATGCAAAAAAACAACTTACTATGTTCTTCAGTTTGGCACAAGGTGTCACTGGTACATTCTGCTTCTGCTAACATATTCATTAGAGTACTTGGTAATCTTGGGCTCCATTTTTTCCTAATTTCAGGGAACTCAGATTGTATTTCATTTACCTGGCCAGCTGAGGGGAAAAAAATATTACCTTCCTTATACAGGTAATCCTTGACAGGTATACAACGCTGAAAAAAGTTACTTATGATGATTTTCACACTTACAATCATTACAGCATCCCTGTGGTCACCTGATAAAAATTTGGACACTTAGCAACTGGCATATATTTATGATGGTTGCAGTGTTCCAGTGTCACGTGATCACAAGCAAAGTCAATGGGGTAGCCAGATTTACCTCACAACCATGTTACTAACTTAACAACTGCAGTGATTTACTTTACAATTGTGAGAAGTATGGTCATAAAAATGGGGTAGAATTCACTTAGCAACTGTCTTAGCAATGGAAATTTTGGGCTCAGTTGTGGTCATAAGTTAAGGACCACCTGTATTTTGATAAAAATATTAATATAGATTTGATCCTCTTTGTGATCCACTTCCATTTTTCTCCCATCTCTCCCTTTTTTCAATCCTGGAAGTTACTGAATTATCCTCCAATCAAAATTACCTGTCCTAACTTAACAATGATCACTTATGTTATGATTGGTTTTGGGTTCTAGAGATTCTGAAAATTGGCCACCCTTCCCCCTCAATTTTAGTTTAAAGCCCTCCTGATGAGTTGGGCCAGTCTTTTTCCGAGTATATTTTCCCCTGTTTTCGTGAGGTGCAGCCCATCCCTTGCCAAGAGTCCTTCGTGTAGGAAATGCAGTCCAGATGACAGATTCAAAATTACTTATGATCCAGTCTTGAAGTTATAACTGTCATAACCTCCCCTTATGATCACATGATCGCATTTCGGATACTTGGCAGCCAGCTTGTATTTATGACCGGTTGCTGTGTCCCACAGTCATCTGACTAATTTGCAATATTTTGCTGGATCTGCTTAATGATCAAGTGGTTTACTTCACTATGTGATTCCTTTAAAGGCTACAGTGATTTGCTTTATGACCATTGTAAAAACAGACAAAACTGAGTCTGCTCACATGGTGACCTGCTTAATGTTGAGACTCTAGAAAAAGTACAGAGAAGAGCAACAAAGATGATTAGGGGACTGGAGGCTAAAACATATAAGGAACGGTTGCTAGAATTGGGTATGTCTAGTTTAAGGGGGGACATGATAGCAGTGTTCCAATATCTCAGGGGCTGCCACAGAGAAGAGGGAGTCAAGCTATTCTCCAAAGCGCCTGAAGGCAGGACAAGAAGCAACGGATGGAAACTAACCAAGGAGAGAAGCAACCTAAAACTAAGGAGAAACTTCCTGACAGCTAGAACAATTAACCAGTGGAACAACCTGCCTCCAGGAGTGGTGAATGCTCCAACACTGGAAGTTTTTAAGAAGAGGCTGGCAGCCATTTGTCCGAAATGGTATAGGGTTTCCTGCCTGAGCAGGGGGTTGGACTAGATGACCTCCAAGGTCCCTTCCCACTTTATTATTATTATTATTTGTAGTGAACATTAATTTGTTGATGGGACAAAACCAATTATCTAGGCAGTGCAGAATCACACTGATAGTTCAAGAAGCCATGTGTAGAATAATGCACAACAACACTGGAGACAGAAGTACTAGTGACGTCAGCCATTTCGTGTTGTGCAGAATTGTTGGGCCCTGGACCGGATTCAGTGTCTCCTTGCACCAGGAGGAGGACTCTCAAAGAGGAGTTATGTCTAGAATGCTGAAATACTATAAATTCTATTTCAATCATAGAAATATTCTGCCTGGAGGAACAATTTGTAATAACTTTCTCTCTCGTTGGAGCTCTTAGTCATCCTTTCCATATTGTTCGACAGAATTCCACAAATCTTTGTAACGGATGTTTGGGAGAGCAAAGGTGCTCCTGGAAAAGTAGGAGGTAGATAAACTGTTTTACTTCTCCTCTTTGCCAGTGAGAAAAGGATACTTTTATCACTGAGTGACAAATTTCATACTTTTATGCTTGTTCTCATGGGTACTCTATCAGAGCTATTATCAAACTATTTTTTCCTAAATTAGTTTGTATCATTATTAGACTGTATTGTCTGCTTTTGTGCTTTAGTTTGACTATAAAGTGGGCAGAATATGATGTAATAAAATATTGTTTTATATTTTTTGGATTATATTTTTGAAGCAATAGAATTAAAAAAGCAAACATATTGAGTTGGGAATAATCAGGAAACACAATGACCATGTTGTCAATATCGTTTTTAAAGGATGCCTTACTTTATAGAAAGGCACTTAAGACTTATATACCGCTTCACAGTGCTTTACTCTCTGAGCAGTTTACAGAATAACAACAACAACAACAACAACAATAAAGTTGGAAGGGACCTTGGAGGTCATCTAGTCCAACCCCCTGCTCAGGCAGGAAACCCTATACCATTTCGGATAAATGATTGTCCGGTCTCTTCTTAAAAACTTCCAGTGGCAAGGAGCATTCACCGCTTCTGGAGGCAGGTTGTTCCATTGGTTAATTGTTCTGTCAGGAAGTTTTTCCTTAGTTCTAAGTTGCTTCTCTCCTTGGTTAGTTTCCACCCGTTGCTTCTTGTCCTGCCTTCAGGGGCTTTGGAAAACACCTTGACTCCCTCTTCTTTGTGGCAACCCCTGAGATATTGGAACCCTGCTATCATGTCCCCCCTCGTCCTTCTCTTCATTAAACTAGAGATACCCAATTCCTGCAACCGTTCCTTATATGTTTTACCCTCCAGTCCCCTAATCATCTTTGTTGCTCTTCTCTGTACTCTTTCTAGAGTCTATATTGCCCTCAACAATCTGGCTCCTCATTTTATTCAGAAGGATGGAAGGCTGAGTCAACCTTGAGCTCTATCAGGATCAAGCTGCTGGCAGTCGGCAGAGTTAGCCTACAATACTGCATGTATGCAATACTGTGCCACCACAACTCTTATAACTTGACAACTACTGAAATAATAGTTCAGATCAGAATGGAAACCTAAGGTCCGCTGCATAACAAATAAATTCTATTTAAAACAAAGCAAAATATTTCAAAAAGGTCACCTTCCTCCATAATATTCTGTACAGATGTGGTATCTACATTTTCTAAGAAATTCAATAGTGTCTGTGGAGTTGCGATTCGCCAGTGTTTTCTGTCATTTATCGCATCTTCATTGTCAGCTTCTAAGGAGAAAAATCTTTATTATTTTTTCTGAAAGGATATAATATTGATGCTAATTATAGCTTATTCATGCAATTATCTACAGGTAATCCTTGACTTGCAACAGTTTGTTTAATGGCCATTCACAATTATAATGGCACTACAAGTGACTGATGACCGTTTTTCACATTTATGACTGTTGCAGCATCCCATGGTCACATGATCAAAATTCAGCCTGTTAGCAACTGACTCACTTTTATAATGGTTGCTTGGTCCTGGGGTCATGTGATCACCTTTTGTGACCTTCTGACAAGCAGAGTCCAGGGCGAAGCCGGATTCATTTAACAACTGTATTAGTAACAACTGCAGTGATTCACTTAACAGCTGTGGCAAGAAAGGTCGTAAAATGGAGCAAAACTCACTTCGGAAATGTCTCACTTAGCAACATAAAAATGCTCAATTGTGGTCATAAGTCGAGGACTACCTATATTTCATCTAGGACAGGGGTAGGCAACCTTGGCTCTTTTTTTTTTTTTTTTTTATTGAAAATTTTTAAATTTTTACAAAAACAAATCCCCTTCCCATACCCCCCCCAACCCTACCTCACCCCCCTCCTCCCCAACCTCCCAAACCCTCCCCTAGACTTCCCAGAGCTGAATACAGGCTTAATTGAGAAAAAAACTTAAAACACTTTTAAAACCTAAACAAATTTAAATACAATCATCATTCTATATAAACTCCCTCCAAAAACGCAAATTTAAACATTACTTTCTTTGAATATCTATAGCTATAATGTAAAATCTAATTTCTCCCTCTTTCTTTATCCTAATACAAAAAGATAAACATATAAACCTTTGTTGTACCATTAAAACTAAATACTCTTAGAAAACTTAAAGTAAATACATATTTCCTTCAATCTTCATCATCTTCTCACCTATCCAAAAAAAAAAAAAAAACTTAAAAATCCTAAACAAATCTAGACACATTTAGTTAAACAAATTATTTTCTCTTAAAAATATTAATAATAATATTTAAAAGCTTGAAACACTTTTAAATCCTAAACAAATCTAAATACAATCATCATTCTATATAAACTTTCTCCAAAAACACAAATTTAAGCATTACTTTCTTTCCTAAACAAATCTAGACATTTAATTAAGCAAATTATTTTCTCTTAGAAATATTAATAATAATATTTAAAAACCAAATTTAAGCATTACTTGAAACTTAAACAAATTATACTCCCTTCGAAACACAAATTTATTAGAATCCCCTCACTGAAATAAACAAATTATAATCCCTTCAAAACACAGGTTTAAACAATATTATCATTAAAGGTTTAAAACTTAAAACTGAAATATATTATTATCCCAAAACACATATTTAGACATTACATAAGACATTTTCCAAAAACGATATAAGTTTTACTTCTCCCACAATCTCAATAGTAAACTTCTTGTCTAAAGTTCTCATTCAATGTCCATAATTTTCTGTCCAATAACCAGTTGCACCCACTATAAACACAAACTTCTTATCTAAAATTTTCATTCAATATCCATAATCTTCTGTCTAATAGCCAGTTGCATCTACTATAAGCACAATCCATATTGGTCTCTCTTGCCCGCAAGCATCGAAAAAAATGCGTGGAATTCTGCCCTTGAAGATCGCTCCAAAGAGTTTGTAAGTCCTGGTTGACCCACCAGCTCAGGAATCAGTACCTGTGAAACTTCCTCAACCTCCTTCTTCTGTTGGTCTTTCTCTTTACATTTATATGTTACTTTTTCTTTACATTTATATGTTGCACAAGTCTCAGGGACCGATACCTGTAAAACTTCCTCAGTGAATTCCTCCTTGTGTTGATCTTCACAGTTGTAAGTTGTACAAGTTATCCTCTGCCCGTTCCTCTCTTGTTGGTGCCCCTCAAGCTGAAATTTCCCAATTTCGATTTCAGGCAGCAATTCCACCCTTGAAGATTGCTCCAAAGACTTTGTAGGTCTAACTTCTCCCAGAGCCACCCTTGAAGATTGCTCCAAAAACTTTGTAAATCCAACATCTCCCAGAGATTCAGAGACCGCTGAATATGAAACTTCCTTAACCTTCTTCTGTTGCTGCTTTTCTTTGGAGTTATGTGCTACACAAGTTGTCTTCTGCTCCTCAATCTGGACTTGTTGAGACCTAATAGATGGCGATGCACATACCCCCAGGACCGAAGTATAAAAATCTTTTGCTTGAGAAACAGTATTAAGTCTATGACATGTCCCCAGGTAGTTCACCACCATTCCAGTCGGAACATCCCATCTGAATAGAATTTTTCTCTTTTTAAGTTCATTTGCTAGAAAAGCAAACTCCTTTCTTCTTCTTAAAATTTTAGATGGGATCTCCTTAAAAATTATGACATCTTGTGAAGCAATTTGAAATCTCTTCTTATAATAGGCTTGCACAATTTGATTGCGTAAGGATCTTTTACCAAAGTAAATTACCACATCTCTTGGCAGATTCTTCTGTGCTGCCACCACAGAGTTAACCCTAAATAATTTTTCAATTTCACTAAGTATTCCCTCTTTTTCTTTATTCAAAATCAATGCAAAGTCCTTTGCAACCATTTCTTTCAAATCTTCTTGCAAAGACTCTTCCAGGCCTCTGATTCTTAAGGCATATTCCATTTGTCCATATTGAAGCATAAGAATCTCATTTTCCATTTCTTTTTCCATACTTTCAATTTTCCCCTCCATTATGTCCACTTTTTCAGCTACCTCTTCCACATGGGAGTTCACCTTTTCAAGAACAGAAGCAACTCCTTCTAAAGCCAAAACAAAATCTTGTCTCAAGATCTTATTATTTTCCTCTAAAATCTTTTTCATTTCTGCCCTAATTTGAATTATAACATCTCCCATCATGTTTTGCAAATCCTTCATAGTTATTAGCTGACCCCCAGAAGAGGGTGAAACTGTTGATTTAGAAGCTGTAGAAATCCCTGGACGCTTTGGAGCCATCTTAAAGAAAAACCTTTAGCCCTTCTTAAAAAATTATAAAAATTCCTTCAAAAATCATAACTCCCTCCAAAGAAGGTCATTATAATAAAAAGAAAAAAGGAAAAAAGAAAAAAAAAAAAAAAGGGAAAAGAAAAAGAATTTAAAAAAGCTTTACTCCTTTTTAAAAATTGCAAAAAATTAAACAGAAAAAAGTCCTTCAAAAAAGAGTCATTACAATATAAAGAAGGGAGAAGAAAAAAAAAAAATAATAATAATAATAAATAGAAAAAGTCCGTTCCAAAAAAAAAATACTTAGAGATACCAAAAACAACCATTCCAATCATAAGAAAATAAAAAGGGAAAGGGAAAGGAAAGAAAAAGAAACACCAAAAAGCCTGCCGGTCAGCATTCTAACTTCAAAAAAAAAAAAACACCGAGAGATTTGCCGATCGCCATTTTACTTTCCCTTTCAACAAAGAAAAAAAAAATAAAAAGAGAGAATAAAAATAGAAGCAAGTCTTAAAACTTAAAATCCAAATAAATCAAAGAAAGCAAAAACTAAATCCTCTACTCAGCTCTGTCCGTTTATAAAAAAAAAAACTCACCAGTTCTCTTTAAGCACGGAGGTGTTTGCAGCGGCTCGTTTTGTCCCTGAGGACAAAAACAGCTGGGAAGCGGAGACAAGTCCGAACTCCGTGGGAGCACTCCTTTCACCCCCCCAAAAAAAAACTTGGGGGGTGCAAAAGAGGCTCTACCACTATTCAGACACTCTCTACCCCCCCCCTTTGCCCGGGAGGGGGATTTTGAACCGCTGAACAGCTGGTGTCTGCTGTTCATAGCGGTTCTTACACTTACCCAGGAAAGACGGCTACAAAGTAGCCGCCATCGCGCGCGCAAAATCCACCGGAAGTCAACCTTGGCTCTTTTATGACTCCTGGACTTCAACTCCCAGAATTCCTGAGCCAGCATGGCTCAGCTTGGAAACCTCTCCCTTTCCCCTCAGCATGGCTGGCTCAGGAATTCTGGGAGTTGAAGTCCACGAGTCATAAAAGAGCCAAGGTTGCCTATCCCTGATCTAGGAGGTAATTTTTTTTGCAGAAGTCTTATGATAAAATTTTGTTTAAAAGCCATTATCGTTATGGCTTTTAATAATCAGTATTAAATTTCTCAAAACATTATCAGATGCAGATTGCAGTTCCTGTATGAGCAACATAGAAGTAGACATTCTACAACAGGAAAGTGAGCGTTCTCCAAAATGTATATTTATTAAAAAAACATTTGATAGGGAGAAATGCAACTATTTAATAACAAGAACATGATTATTGACTGACAGATTAATCAAATATCTACATCTGTCCATCTGTCCAAAGAAACTGGCTAGCAAGCCTAACAGAAATTATTATTAGAAACACAAACAAAACCTAAGTTGCAGCCCCTATAAAAAAATAACAGTTTCCCCTACAGCAGTGATGGCGAATCTTTTAGAGACCGAGTGCCTAAACTGCAACCCAAAACCCACTTATTTATCACAAAGTGCCAGGGCCTCATCAGCATTGTAGTGCCCTCGGGGGGGGGGGCACGCAAAAACCAGAGGCGCAAAAATTGGCCACCATGCTGCAAGGCACAAAAATGGCCACCACCGCACTGCGGTGTGCAGATACAAGGTGCTGCACCACGCAAGAACAGGGGCTCTGGCCCTGCCCCATTTGCAGCACATGCATGCTCGCGGCCCCATGTGCGCATGCGCGCATGTAAAATGCTTCCCCCTCCCTTTTCTTCCAGTCCACCAATCATCAATTGTTGGTGACCTCTGCTCTACCACCTCTACTCAAGCTTGCTAGTCGGCTGCTTTGTCTCCTGGGCAGGGCTCCTGCTCCGGGCGGCAGTGGCAGCCTGATGGACCTGCTGTTGGCAGCTGTGGCACACGTGCCCACAGAGAGGGCTCTGAGTGCTGCCTCTGGCACGTGTGCCATAGGTTCGCCACCTCTGCCCTACAGCCTATATACACCAAACTTCAATAAATTAACATCTGAGCCTTAGTGCCTAAGGAAAGAACCAGGCCTTCATAACCTTCCAAAAGCCAAGTAAAATTAGGATTCTCCATAGCTCGGGTCCCGAGGGGGAGTTGTTCCAAAGGACAGGCATCATGATAGACAAAGCATACTTTCTAAGATCTATTAGATCAGGGGTCCCCAACCCCCGGTCCGTGAACTGGCACTGGGCCGCGGCATGCCAGAAACTGATCTGCACAAACAAACGAAGACCCATCCGTGGGTTGCAGCCAGTACACAAAACCAAACCCCCTCCAGTCCATGAAAAAACTTCTCTCTACGGAACCGGTCCCTGGTGCTCAAAAGGTTGGGGACGTCTGTGTTAGATGACTTTTTTTTTCTTCACTAAGGGAACCCAAAACATAGGAATGCAGGCAGAAACTGTCAAGTACAGGCAATTCCACAAGTAACCTGGTCCCACAGAATGCAGGGCTTTTAAGGTAACCACCAGGCCAATCACCTTCCCAGCAACCCTCCCCAGAAAACCATCCAATACAGCTGGGTCCAGCAATGGCTTCTTAAGGAACAGACAGACCACAGCATCCTTCAAGGCCAGAGGAATCACACCCTCCTGCAAAGACCTATTTGCACTGCTTGAAACCAGCTACATAAAACTTCCTGGGTAGCTAGGACCTGCTAGGACAGTGGTGGCGAACCTATGGCACGGGTGCCAGAGGCGGCACTCTGAGCCCTCTCTGTGGGCACACACGCCATCGCCCCAGTCCTAGGCCTTCAGCTGGGTTTTATAAAACCTTTTCACTTTAGGCTTCTGCCGCCGTGTGCAAAAAAAAAAAAAAAAGGTTCAATCAGTTAATTTCAACTTCTCGCAGGAAAAAAAAAAGATCTTGCAAAGTTGGAATTGATGGATTGAACTTTTTAGTCCCACCCAGTCTGCCGTTATCACCACAGCCACGCCCAGCCAATAGGCCACACCCACCCGGCACTCCACAATGCATAAGTGGGTTTTGGGTTGGAGTTTGGGCACTCAGTCTCTAAAAGGTTCGCCATCGCTGTACTAGGAGGGACATGGTTCTAACATATAGATGGAAAGATGCAACACCCCAAGGATCCTGTCCTCTTTCTCAGGAACTAGGATGGGGGATTATTGTTTTTTATCTTTTTAAATTTTTTTCTAGTTTACATTTTTTACTGTTTGTTAGCTGCCTAGAATCGCTGTGAGCGAGTAGGCAGCTATATAAATGCTCTCAAACAAGCAAACCAAGCCCAAATAATCAAATAAGACTGGGCCCCAGTCATGTTCTGAAAACCAGCATAGCTGGAATCTAACTGTGAGTAGATCCCAGTGATTTTATCTGACCGATAGCAATGTTAATGATTTCAAGAAGCATACCCATCTTCCAGTGCTGTAATTCTTCCTCATAGTTTGCCAGTTTTTTCTTAAGGTTTTCTCCATGTTCAAAAGTCAGTGTTTCATTAAGTTTATCATGCTGCTGAAATCCAACATACAAAAAGTCAGTTTTGAAAAATTAACTTACATTCTTTTTTTTAAGCAAAAGCACTACAATATCAGAACCAGACAAATTGAATTATTGAATATCATCCATTATATGTTTTTCAATGAGACATTTCACTTAAACAGCATATAATCTCTCTTCAAATTTTAACAAGAAGACATTTCATAGAGGGAATGACAATATTTTCTGTCAATCATTTGATGTAGAGATAGGGGTCAGGTAGAGGTCGTGAGCAGCAAACTGCCCCTCCAAAGCCTGCATGCTTCTTCTCTCTACATGATCTCATCTGTTCACATTGCCATGGTGATGTAGGGAAATACCCCAGGCTGGTACATGATATCACCTGGTTCACATGATATCAGGTAGGTTACATCAACAGGATGTGGCAGAAAACTGCTCCCTGGCTGGGGCCTCCTAGCTGGTATATTCTTAAGGATTGGCAAGGAGTTTCACCAATAGAAATGCTGTTGCTATGCTGATGCCATGTTACTTTATGCTATTTGGAATACCTGTATAAAAGGCAATAAACACTGCGAAGGCAGTCAGACATATTTGCACCCTGCAATGACTGGTCACTGATTCCATCAATTTGAGAATCTCTTTTAGAAAGGCAGAAATCATAACCTGACTCAGGATTTGTGCCAATCTACACATTTTCTGTGTGACAGATGCTCTATTTATCCTAACTTATGGTATCATATGGAGTAACTAAAGAGATTTGTATAGTAATACTTTATTTTATTGTATGTTTGTGGGATTTTTTTTAATATTCTGTGAATGTTCTCCATGTAGTTATAAAGTAACTAATAAGGCACTGCACCAACCTAGATTAAAAAAGGAAAAGGTAGTTCATACTGAAAGATGACAAGATGAATATAGACTAACAATAGATCTCACGTCCCCCCCCGCGCATCTTGCTTCCTTCTCTTCCAATCTTTTAATTATAATTTTGTATTCTTTTAATTATAATTTTGTTTTATTGTTATAGTTTTATTGCTTTTGATGTTATAAGCCACCAAAGTTGCTTTGTGGTGAGATGGACAGCAAATAACTTCAATGAATGAATGAACAAACAAACAAACAAACAAATTAATTAATTAATTAATATTATCCTCCTTAAATCCAACACAATGTTCCCTCTTTGACTCCTAGTCACTGCAGAGCCCTAGTAACTACATAGGCTTTTTTATATTTTATTGTATTGAAGCATAAAATTGTATTGAAGCATAAAAAATAGTGCCATAAAAAAACAGAATAGAAACACAAATTAAGATAGGCAAGAAAATGGTAAGTGAGCATCTGTCCAGCCTAGACGAGTTCAAATCACCAGGACCAAATGGACAGTTAGAACAATTAACCAGTGGAACAACCTGCCTCCAGAAGCAGTGAATGCTCCAACACTGGAAGTTTTTAAGAAGAGACCGGACAGCCATTTGTCCGAAATGGTGTACGGTTTCCTGCCTGACCAGGAGGTTAGACTAGATGACCTCCAAGATCCCTTCCAACTTTATTATTATTATTAGTAGTAGTAATAGTAGTATTAAATCAGTTGTGATTGCTTTAATTATAATTGCTATGGCAGAGATGTTTCAAATGAAAATTAAATATTAGGAGTTCAGTTGGTAACAAAAATAAGTGAAACAAATCTGAGGAAAGAGCAAGACTTTTACTTGGAGAACTTTGCTAAGAAGAGTAAAGTCAGATATTAGTGGCAGACGATAAACAGAATGCCATGTTTAAAGGTTATAGCAAAGCTATACGTAAAGAGCAGAACCAGGAATCAAGCAAAAGTCTGGCCAGAAGGAAACTTCAACATCTAGCTCTCGAAACAATTTTTTTCTAAAAGTCAGATGCAGCAATAAGAGATTGTGGCAGAGGAATACTGATGGTAACATCTTCTCCTATTGGTATATAAAAATTAGTAGGAATGAAGATTGGAAAATCTGGAGCAAGAGAAAAAATACTGACAACTGATGTAGCTGAGGAAGATGTCTTTAAATATAAGAAAAATGAACTTAAGCAATCCCCCCAATGTATTTGTTTAAGTAAATTCACTCAGTAAACAAAGGGTGAGACAGTGCTTCAGATTCAGAAGCAAAATGGTACTTCAGAATGTGCTGGCACTTAGCGTCTATAGTAGCTCCGTAAACTATACATGTCTTTTCCTGGGATTGCATAGCTGTGGGGAAAGGCAAGATCACTTTAAGAAATTTCAAACAGGTACTACTTTTGCACACCTTCAGATCTGAAATGCTGTATAACTCTGATTATCTATGTTTTTAATGTGTCAGCTTGTCTGTAGAAATGGTGTCAATTTCACACCTATACACAAGAACAAAGCGATTCAGTATAAAAATACTGGGAGCCTATTTTGATGGCAGCACTTGTTTATTTTCCAACTCAGGGTACATTCCATTGCTGTGATATCTGAAGACTTTTTCAAACAATGAGGTAGGAAGTTCCATACTGTGTAGCCTCAAAGTTTCTAAAAAAGAGAACATTGTGGAACACTCACCTTGTTTTAACACATATTCTTTACATAAGCAGGGAGTCTCCCTGCACAATTGCAAATACAGGTAGTCCTCGACTTACAAGAGTTTGCTTAGTGACCGTTCAAAGTTACAACGGCACCAAAAAATGAGACTTATGATTGTTTTCGCAGTTACAGTTTTGCAGCATTTCCATGATCATGCGTGATCAAAATTCAGATGCTTGGCAACTGGCTCATAGTTATGACCGTTGCTGTGTCCCAAGGTCACGTGATCACTTTTTTGCGATCTCAACAAACAAAGTAAATGGGAAATCCAAATTCATTTAACAACTGGGTTACCAACATATCAACTACAGTGATTCACTTAACAACTGCGGCAAGAAAGCTCGTAAAATTAATTTCAAAATTACTTAATTTCGTTGTGTGTTACACAGTGACAATAAATATATTCTAGTCTAAGACGGGCTGAAACTCACTTAACAAATGTCTTACTTAATAACAGAAATTTTGGGCTCAATTGTGGTCCTAAGTCGAGGACTACCTGCATAACTATGGTCCAGAATTATACCTCATTTTCTTCCAGGATGTTTTTCTCATCTGCTGCATCGTCTGTTAGATCAATCTGAAACTTTACCCCTCCCTGAAAAATAAAATGCAAAAATATGTAACAGCTGCCACAGAAAATTCATTAATTGCAAATACAGGTAGTCCTCGACTTACAAGAGTTTGTTTAGTGACCGTTCAAAGTTACAACGGCACCGAAACATGAGACTTATGATTGTTTTCGCAGCTACAGTTTTGCAGCATTTCCATGATCATGTGTGATCAAAATTCAGATGCTTGGCAACTGGCTCATATTTATGCTGCATCATCTATTAGATCAATCTGAAACTTTACACCTCCCTGAAAAATAAAATGCAAAAATATGTAACAGCTGCCACAGAAAATTCATAGCTAGAATATAAGTTAGTGCGGAGAGAGAAAGAGAGAGAGACAGAGAAGAGAGACAGAGAGAGAGAGAGAGAGAGAGAGAGAGAGAAAGAGAGAGAGAGAGAGAGAGAAGAGGAGAGGAGAGGAGAGGAGAGGAGAGGAGAGGAGAGGAGAGGAGAGGAGAGGAGAGGAGAAGAGAAGAGAAGAGAAGAGATATGATTATCCCTCTTGTACTATTGAATGTAGCAGCATAAAAATGCACAATCACTTTTCTCCCTCTGAGGAAGAGGGAAGACGTCAATTAAGTAAAAGGGACAACGAACAAGGGATTTCTCTCCTTTATTTTGCTGAGATGTCCATTATAGCAAAATGAAAGAAAAAGACCCCTTGTTCTTCCTTCTTTTAAGTTTAAAAATACTAATACTCCAGTTGAAATGATGTAATACAAAGGTGGCATTATTATTATATATAGATAAGGTATATATATAAACTGAACCTTTGCTTTCTGTTGTACTTCTGGATTCTTCTTCTCCTGCCCTCTCTGCAGACCAATTTGTTTCAGGTTTTGTTCCATGTCCTGGGGAGAGAAGAGGAGAGGAAAAAAGCAAATTGTTCATCACTATTTGCACTAAAAAGATACAGTATGCAAGCATTAACAGGCAACTAAAAACAATAAAGAGACTCCCTTCTGGGGGGCAGAAGGGATCTTTTATGAATGCTAACCTGTTCTACAGAATCATTTAAAAATACTTTAGTACAGGGTGATAAAGGATAAATCAGGACTTACTACTACAAGAATGGGCAGTGTGATAGATGTGATGGCCTAATATTACACGCATCGCACCAGAAGCCTCCCACACAAGAGTTTATATTTTTGAAACTTGTTTCAGGTGATCAGATGTTTAAAGGGATAAAATATGTGCCTTCGGCTTTGCGATGGCTTCATCAACCCACAGCAACCCTAAAAACCTGAACTCTTCCCCCCAACATTTTGAAAGGTTTCAACAAGCAAGTCTGATTAAACAAACAAGTTTAATCTACAAGGATTAAGAGATTAATTTTATTCTTTAACCTCCAACCTCAAAAGTAGGGGGGAAAAAGAATCCGGTCTTAGCCTGCCCAGTCTTGTGGCATCAGGTCATCAGGCCATGTGTTCAAAACCCTAGACAGGCTCCAAGGTCACCCCTCGCTCAGAAAGACACAACACTATTCTAGTAGATTTCCAATTAATTTGCTGTAGATGGAAGGGTTTTGTTTTCAACCACCGGTTTTTTAACAATTATTTCTGAGTCTGTTAGAATTGTTAATCTGTGTTAATTTTGATGTAGATTTGTATCTTCAAGTTATCCCAGTATATGCCACATGCAATATTTTTAGATAAATAGTTCCAAATGTAAGCTACCATTTTGCCTTTAGCTTGGATGGATGGGTGGATGGATGGATGGGTGGATGGGTGGATGGATGGATGGATGGATGGATGGGCGGGCGGATAGACAGAAAAAGCTGCTAACTCAAAACTTAAATTTGCACTCTTCTATTAAAAGAAAAGATTAAACACGAATATATTTGGCAGAAATTGCAATAAGATCTCTTATTTGTACTTTTATTTTAGTCAAACAAAAATAGAGTTCTTCCTGTTAATGAAGACACTACAATGAACCAAATGAAAAGGTTGTATCAAAACCAAAAGTGCTGATACCTGGCCTGGTTCATTTCTTTCTTCATGGTCTTCACTCTTTCCCAGTTTCACAATATAGGTTTTGTCCCTTATGTTTTTATTTTCCTTTAAGATAATAGTCATAAACATAACATTTTAGGTTCAGTAGATGGATGTTAAGTATACACATTAAAACTTTTGTCTACATGAACTTTTACAGTGTCATAACAAAAGAAATAAAGGATTGCAGAAAATAGCATTAGAATATGCATTTCCATCCAAATAATATCCAAATATTATTTTTAAACTTGTGGTGTATTTGCATTAAAGCAATCTACATTTAGGACTATGAAAAGTAACTTAAATTCTGGAACTTCCAAGGAAGAAATGGCAAACTGAGGATGGTTCCATTGAGGGGGAAGCTGACAACCACAGTGGCATGAAGAGTCAGTGAATGGACTGACTCTTCCCAATTTCTCTCTGGAGAAGGAATGGACTTGGATCACACACAAGTGCTCCAGACACTTGCTTCTCATGAGGAGACCACAAACAGGGGACTCCTGTGGGTTTAAAGCTCTGGGAGATGAGGTAATACCAGCTGTGGTTTGGCACCTACAAAAGGACACAAGATTTGCATATTTCCTTTCTTAATCACTTTTGGAAATTGCTTGCTAACTGCTTAAGATATTAGGAACCTTTATAGTGGCACGTTTTACTATACCAGAGGAGTGTCCTAAAATCTTTTGAGAAATAAATTTTTAAAAAGGAGGTTTTGTGTGGGGGAGTTTATGAAAAGGAGAACACTTAGAGGCTGGATAGGTTTGCCCACACAACCCAAAAACAAAGCTTCCATAAATATGATACAGATCCCTCTCTCCATATGAATGTAAGATGAAAAATTATTTTGTGTTTCTTTCAAGAATCTCCCAATCTTTTTAGTGCATACTATAACTACCATTTCATTAAAACATACAATAATAATATTTAACTTCAAAAGACAAGTTTTCAATTTATCACACTAAAGATTCTTATGATCACAGAAAAACAAGCATAAGACCAGTATACCAGTTGCACCTGTTACTAACCATAATGACACCTGAATCACATTAACACAATGATAAACCGATTTCACTACTCAATGTGGATTACAAAATTTTTACTTCAATAATGGCAGAGAGACTGAAAAAATACTTAGTTGAGTTTAAACATCCAGATCAAAACAGCTTTTTACTGAAGAGACAAATTAAAAACAATTTAAGGGTGATAACGGACGTATCAGAATATTATGAATTACATCCAGGGAAACAATTAGCATTAGTGTTTTTAGACGCCCAAAAAGCGTTTGATAATGTTTCCTGGCAATTTATGGTTCAACAATTACAAATAATGGATTTTGGAAAGAATTTTACAAATATAATAAAAACAATATATAGCAACCAGAAGCAAAAGTGATAGTGAATGGAGATTATACTGAGAGCTTTGAGATAAGAAAAGGTACAAGTGTGTCCACTATCTCCATTATTATTTATCTTTACTTTGGAAGTACTAAATAGAAGGATAAGACAGGACACAGAAATTAAAGGATTGAAAATAAAAGATGAAACATATAAGTTACAAGCATTTGCTGATGATTTAGTGTTTATCTTGGAAGAACCTTTAGAGATGATTCCTAACTATGGGAAAAGATAGAAGAATATGGAGAAATGGCATAAATAAATAAATAAATAAAAAATCAAAGTAATAGTAAAGACCCTCACAGATAAACAAAAAAGGCAAATACTAGAGAGAACAGAGGTACAAATAGTGAAAAAGTTAAATATTTAGGTATTCATCTTTCAGCTAAGTGTTCGTCAATAAAAGAAGACAATTATACAAAATTATTGAAGCAAATAAAGCTAGACTTGGAAAGATGGAAAAATCTGCAGCTGTCAATATTAGGAAGAATTGCTACAGTAAAAATGAATGTGTTGCCGAAGATTTTATTTCTATTTCAAATGATTCTGATAAAGCTTGAGAGAAAATTCTTTCAAGATTTAAATTCATTGGTCTTGAACTTTATTTGGCAGGGGGAAAAAGCTAGAATTAAGATGAAAACATTACAAGATGCTAAGGAAAATGGAGTTTTTGAGTTGCCGGAATGGAGGTTGTATTACCAAGCATCTGTGTTAACATGGGTGAAAGAGTGGATAACACTTAGAAATAAAAGGTTATTATATTTAGAGGGACATGATTTACAATTCGGGTGGCATGCTTTCTTATGGTACGGGAAAAACAGAGTCCATAAGTATTTTCAAAATCATTTTATAAGAAATGCCTTGTCAACAGTATGGGAAAAAATTAAAGCTAAAATATATTTAAAAATTCCAGGGTAGTTATCAACGATGGAGGCATTTATACATCCGAACTTGGTAGACTTTGAAAAAATATGGACATATAAAGATATTCTAGATATTGATGGGAAATTAAAATCTAAACAAGAATTGGAAAAAAAAACCACAATGATAACTCATATAAATGCCATAATATCCAAATATCCTGGCACGTAATTAGATTACAGCATTTATATGAATGACATCATATACATATTTTGTCATCTCACTCCCTTGACCCTTCCCCAACCATTCATATGGTACAATTAGTCCTGCATTTGAAAGAGCCATTTCGCATTATATGTTAGTCTGAATAAATCTTCTTTGGAGCTTTAAAACAGCCACATCTTTTGCAAGGCTTGAGCAGTTGCTTCAAGAGCTGTTCCTGGCTGTCTCAACATGGGTGTGCATGCACAGCCACTCTGCTTTGTGCAGACCCATTGAGGTGTTGTAGTGTAGTCTACGCATGCACATGTATATTCAAAACAGCAGAGACAGTTTTTGAAGCATCTATGCTAGTCTTGCAAGTTTTTTTTAATCCTTTGAAGAAAGATCTGTTTTTTGGGCTAATGTGCTTTGCAAATCATCTGATTCCAATGCTTTCCCTAGCCCATCAAGTAACTATTTGGTCCAAGGACATTAACCTTAACTGCTTTAAGGCGAATTTCATTTACTTCACTCTGGTACTGTTGGCGAATTTCATGTAACTGCTTCAGGTATTCCTGCAAAACATTATTGGATTTTAATAAAATGTATCTGTACAGATATCTTTCAAAACAATTTCTAATATGGAAGAAAATATCCATTAACATTATACAAATTAATTCAAAACTAAGTCCCATAGAGAAGTAACTTCCCAGAAGTGTAAGAATTGGGCTGCAACTTTATGGACACATATAGAAAATGAATATCAATATTATGGACACATATTTGGTCTTTAAAATTTTCTACTGTGAACACACTGTAATCTGGCTTGTAATGACATTTTTAAAACCCCTGTAACATTTCAAATTATATTCAGGTTTGTTATTAAATAACTGTATAGTTTCTGTACAATTTTCTCACTTAACAATGGAACTGTATTTTGCCAAGGATTAAGATAAGTTGAACATGAACTGTATTTTAATGCTTTAAAAATGGGGGAACCCTTTTTAATTGATTACAGGAGTTATGCAGCTATCTCACAAAATGATATTAGGTGGCTCACAACAACTCATATAAACAAAGTTAAAAATAAAAATACTCTTCTGCCCCAAGCACCAAACCAAACAGGTTGTTTCTTTATAGCCCAACAGTCCTTGTAACAAGAATTTTGGATTTAATGTGAGATGTACCTCTATAATGCATGTTTACAGTCTAATTCAATCTTTCATCTAAAACTGTAAAAAATGCAAACATGATATCAAACACTTGTACCATCTTGCCTGTTGACTAGAGCTTGAGAATTTAAAAGCCTATATGCTATTTTGTTGCCTAACAAAAAGTTTGCTTTACTCTGGATTTTATAATTTTTCTAATGGTACATTAAAATGCAAAAAGTTATTCTGATCTTCTGTTTTGGCTTCCCCAAATCGCTCTGCAGAGTGCTCTTGGAGACAGCAAAAACACGACGTCTTTGTGGAATCCCTCCAAATAAGGGCTAAAAGTTAATTTGAAGAGAACTAATTTTATTATTAAAGGAGCCCTGGAGGGACAGTGGTTAGAATGCAGTACTGCAAGCTGACTCTGCTGACTGCCAGGAGTTCGATCCTGATGGGTTCGAAGTTGGCTTGGCCTTCCATCTTCCGCGGTCGGTAAACTAAGAACCAAGATTGTTGGGGCCAACATTGTAAACTGCTCAGGGAGTGCTGTAAAGCACTGTGAAGCAGTATATAAGTCTACGTGCTATTGCTATTAAGGGTAATGTAAAAATCTTACAAGGGAAAACATGCAATACTCTCTGGGATAGACATCATGTTCCATCATGGCATGTCTGTGCCTGAAAGTAGGTTTGCAAAAGCTTTTATAATTAGCACATTAATCATGAATGCAAAACAAGATGTCAGTTAGAAACAGGAGCAGCTGATCAGTCTAAGAAATGTGCTCCCTGGAAATTCCTCACCATCTCTGCATCTGGACATTTCCCCCACATATCTTCCCAGGCCATGCTATATATCTACTATTTTTTATACTAAAACCCCATACATTAGTTAAACACAGTATTAGCATGATCCACATGGCTTCTCCCTGAGTTCTAAGGCTGTGACACACTGCTTAGAAAAAGAAGGGATTTTCAAAAGCTTCTCATATTGAAAGGTCACAAACAGTTGCCCATCAAGTCAAAACAATTTGCCCTGGTCATTGTCAAATTGCCAAATAGCAAAATAAGTATATTATAAAACCGTTGAAGGAGCTGTTTGAACCATACTGTTGATTAAAACTAAATAATATAATTCTGAATACTCCATCCTTAAAGAAAGAAAAATTAGGAATAGATAATCATAGAGGTAATTTAGTCCAATCTCTAGTTTATGCAATATCCACTACAGCATCTATGACAGATGACCACCTACTCTGTTTCCCAGAAAAGAAGGCCTATCTTGAAAATAAGCCCTAGCTTGATTTCTTTTCTCTTTTTTTTGCTTTCTCTTTTTTATTATTTTATTTTTAACCAACAAAACAAAACAAAACAAAACATAACACACATACACACACAGTATATACTCCTCCCCCTTTTTTTTAACAGCAATTACATAATGGTAATCTTCTATTATTTACATTTCCCCCCTTATTCTTCTTTAGAATATTTGTCCTTATTGCCCCGTTGTTTCTTATTTACATTTTTCTTCCTTCATATTCTACTTCTTACTAAGAATTATTCATATTATTATTATTATACATTATTATACACATATTTTCACTTTTGACTTTTCCATATTTATTCTCCTCTATTATTTCTAGTCTCCAACCAGTCATACCACTTGTTCCATGTTATATAGTACTCTGTGTCTTTCTTTTATCTCTTTTGTTAATTTGTCCATCTCAGCACAGTCCAGGATTTTTCTTATCACTTCTTCCTCTGATGGTATATTCTCATTTTTCCCCTAGCTTGATTTCTACACATGCGCCTAATATAAGCCCTAGCCCCAAAATAAGCCCTAGTTTTGGGGTGAAGCGCACACGTAAAAATCAAGCTAGGGTGGAGGTGGGGGGTAGAGCTGCCCCAGGTACCCTGCACTCACTTACCTTAGGACTACTGCAGCCAGGCCTCCCACGCCCCCACACCTGTTACGCCGCTGCCTGAGTTCTTGTGCAGCCGCTTGTGGCCGGACGCCACATAGCGCATCACTATGCGGCCTCCTGCCATAAGCAGCAGCACCAGCGCGAAGCACCATGTGACATTCTGCTGCGAGGGGCGGCACTGGCGCGATGCACCACATGGCGTCCGGCCGCGAGTGGCTACAGAATAGCTCAGGCAGCAGTACAACAGGTGTCGGGGGGGGGGCAGGCCTGGCTGCAGCGGTCCTAAGATAAGCAGGTAAGACATCCCCCGAAAATAAGACCTGGTGCCTCTTTTGGAGGAAAACAAATCATAATAAAATGGGTCTTATTTTGGGGGAAACACAGTAGCCTTTATTCTCCTTCATAAAATACAGGTAGTCCTCAACTTACAACACTTACACGGCATTGAAAAAAAATGAGTTATGACCATTTTTCACATTTACAACTGTTACAGCATCCCCATGATCACGTGATCGAAATTCAAATGCTTGGCAGCTGACTCATATTTATGACAGTTGCAGCATTCCAGGGTCGCAACCTTCTGATAAGCAAAGTCAATGGGGATGCCAGATTCACTTAACAACTGTATCACTAACAACTGCAGCAATTCACTTAACAACTTTTGGCAACAAAAGTCATAAAATAGGGCAAATTTCACTTACCTGTACAGACATTCTATATATATATTTTATGACAAAGTAATAAGTAGGTAGAAACATCTAATATTCCAATCATAGATTCTTCAGTCCATATCCAAATGCTCTGGGCAGGCTCCCTTACCTGTTGTTTCATTTCATTTTTTTGAGGAAGAGCATTATTACAGACTTTGAGCTGTTCTTCCTTCATTTCTTGATTCTGCAGCTGACAAAATTCAGCAGAAGATGGCCGTAGCCCCTATTGATATGTAAAACAATTAACTAACGTTAAAAGCAGTGTCTAGAAAAGATTCCTCTTTCATTTTTATGAGCCCATTACACGTAAAAGAAAGATCAAAATGCAAATATTATTACATTTAAAGTAGCATTTCATGTTGGTACCAGTAAAAAAGAATAGGACCTCCAAAATTTATTTGCTCCAATCTGTGTTTCTTTGATTACAGAAATTGCTTACCAGTTGCTTCTCTACTTTTAACTTGTTTTGCTGAGCATTAAATCGTCTCTGAAGATATTCTGAAGGCCTGAAAAACATAACATTCATTGAAAACTCTAAATAGAAAAAAGGGACATCGTGTCAAAAATCAATAGATGTTTCCATATTCAAGAAAAAAAAATACAACCCATGAGGTGGAGGAGGAGGTGGTTCTTGTCCTTTCTGCTTATAATATTCTTCCATTCTCTGGCCAATACAGGGATCATCATCTTGGACTAAAGCTCTCTTCCGCAGGCTTGCCAGCTTTACGTAATAATGGTCATAATGTCCACACATTCTAATGACCTCTGGCTTCCCACATATTTTAAACGCAGGACCCAAGGGCTGAAAATATTAAATTCATAAAGACAACAAATCCAAAATATTGAATATTGTTTAAATCTGAATTGTTATTCCTTGTGACATTCATTTTATTAAAACATGTTCATTCTGAGCCGAGTGAATGGAAATCAATTTTACATAAAATAGTGTGATCTAACTATCGTCCTGATCAAAAGAAACTCTGAGATAATCAATAAAAATGATCTTTCCTCCACAGCAAAGCAGAATATAACAACAAAATAAGCAAATTACTTTTCTGCATCTTATCCTCTGCTAAGCTTTAAGCGTTAAGCCTTCAGCTAAATATTTGAGCACTGATGCTTTATAACAATGATTGCAGTCATTTGGCCAGGACCTCATATTTCTACTTTGCTGCATTTACCCCCACTTCAATCTCTGTCATTTTGGCTACTCTGCACTTCACCACTCCTGTTGCCCACTGCTGCCCCAGCTGATTTTTGCCATCTTCTTTCTCCTGCTGCTTGAAAAGGTATGCCAAGCCTCACTCCTCGTGATGGCATTGTTGGCCTCACAAGACCTTCCCGAGCAGTGGGAGAGAAAAAAATACAGTGAAGGTTACTTGGGAGTAGCAAGGAGCAGTAGGGGTCAGCAGAGCAGTGTGGAGCAGTAGAGAAGTAGGATAGAGAGATCAACAGCAAAGAGATGGTGGGGAGAAAGACAGGTGGAAGGAGTTGAACCCACCCTGCATCATAAATGTGAGCATGCTGCCAAGCATCTGAATTGTGATTATGTGACCATGGGGGCACTGCATTGGCTGTAATTTTGAGGACCAGTCAAATACCATTCATTCAGTGCTGTTGTAATTTTAAACCCTCACTAGCTGAATAGAACTTGAACAGAATACTTTATTAGCCAAGTGTGATTAGACACACAAGGAATTTGCCTCCGGTGCCTAATCTTTCAGTGTACATGCAAAACAACAAAATAATAATAATAATGATGATACCAATAAGAGAAGGTAGTGGAACAGATGAGAAAGATAAAAGTAATACAGCCATACTACATGGGTAAATATATTTAGACGTAAGACAGTAGTGTGGGAATTAGGTATTCAGCAGAGAGATGGAACAAGGAAAAACACTGTCTTTCTGTCTAGTTGTTTTTGCATGCAATGCCCCGTAGCAGCATCCCAAGGGAAGGAGTTGAAACAGTTATGTCCAGGAGTTGAAACAGTTTATGCCCAAGATGTACAGAATGATCATAAACACATGACTAGGTTAGCAATATATAACTCTTACCTTAATAATTGGATCCTGAATACTTGAAGGAGAATAGCATTCATTTTTATACACTAATTTTCTAGGAAGCATTTCCATCTTGATTTTGGGAGAACGATAATCATGGAGTCTTCGTTTCTGACCTTTAGGAGTTTATGTAACAATAATAAATAATATTTGGTTAATTACTTCTACATTTAATAAATATTAAGAAAGGAACTGACAGACGTGTAGGTTATCTCTACACTTTGCAATTGAAAAAAAGCATTATTCCCTTGAAAATCAGCAGTATGTACTGAGTTGGGAATCACTTGGTTACCACAGAATACACATGTCTCTTCTAAATAAATGTTTTTCCATAAGATATGAAGTCAGAAAGGTAATCCTGAAAAATATAGCATTTCTATTCAACAATTTATCAAATTCCCATTATGTTTAATGGCTCAGTTTTAAGTACTAAGGAAGTCTTTAGTTATGTGTCAGCACAATATTTATCTGAACCAAATTAATCCTCAGGCTAGCCTTCTACAACAACCAGGGATTTGATCATATACAGCAGGGGTGTCAAACTGCCGGCCCACAGGTCAGAAGCATCATAGCAAAACTGCACCCACCCCATTGCCGGCAATGGCAAAAAAGTCATGATACGTCGCGACACGTCACGTGATGTTGCGAGTTTGACACCCCTGATATACAGGATGGAAAGTTCCAGGCTGCCAACACCCAATATAAAAATTGGTTCAACTGGTTTTCTGCCTGACATCCCAACTTTGTAGAGCCATTGTCATCAACTGTCTTCTGGGAAGGATCCCTGAACAGAAACAGAAGGGATACAAACATTACAACAGATACTGAACAGATACTGAACATTACAATCAACTTCTCTATGGAATGAAAAGTGAAAAACTGCTCAGAGGGATTTTTTCCTTCTTTCTCTCCAGCCTCACCATTATAATCAACTTCTTGCAGGAACAACTGTAGATGGATATTTGCTTGTTTTTAAATAATATTTATTTACCAAGCATAGGCCTGGATTTATTTTAATACAATCCAATTTTAATTTTTTGAAGGGAGACTTCTGACTAAAGCAATCCCAAGGTTTTTCTGTGTCCCTTGTCTCTCCTATAAATCAGAAGGAACCTATTAATTTTACCTTGCACAACAGAGCATATCTTGAAAATACAGCTTTCAAGTTATAATCTATATTTACTCAATCTCTGCTGACACCTTTTCCTCAATGAAAAGATGCATGCCGTGGTGGCACAGTAGTTAAAATGCAGCATTGCAGGCTAACTCTGCCCACTGCCAGGAGTTCGATCCTGACTGGCACAAGGTTGACTCAGCCATCCATCCTTCTGAGGATCCAGATTGTTGGGGGCAATATGTTGATATTTGTACACCGCTCAGAGAGTGCTGTAAAACACTATGGAGCGGTATATAAATCTAAGTGCTATCGCTATTGCTTTTGCTATTTTACAACCTCTTCATTTCTTGAAAGTGGCCATTTCAATAACGATCTCAGTGTAAAACAAATTTCATACATATAAACAATCACTTGCCTAGTGATGAAGCTGATGACTTTTTCCTGTGAATAACAGTATGACTGAATTCTGCTTCAATGATCTAGAAAGGAATACAATGGAGTGCAATTATTTATTTCTGTGCTACATCAACAGTGTTTCAAGTAAATGTACCAAATGTTATTTTATTCTAACTCAATCCAGGGAGAAACAAACGTACCCTCTTGGTGTTTTTGTCCTGGGGAAAGCTAGCAATACCCAAAAAAATTATTTGGTAACAATATAAGTGGAATTTATCTGTGTATTTGGGGAAGTTATAATGCCACCCATCTTGCATACATAACCCTGGTCAACCAGCAATCCACACAAAGAGTTATATAGAAAATAAATTGTAAAATAATTGTATAATACAAAACAAAGTTAAAATAACCATCCGACAATAACCAAGTCCCCATAACAGATTCACAACACAACTACATCTATTTTGGGCTCAGTTAACATCCTGGCCCAGTGCTTGGAGCAAGGGTTATTTTTCACAGTCTTCTGTAAAGTCAGAATGCTTACAGCTCTCCAAATATAAGGGGAAGGCTGTTTTATAATGAACAGAGCCTTCTTCCACATAAGAAGAGGTAAAAAATACCAGTCAACAGATAAAGGAGTTTTGAATGGACCAAGCAATTTTGTTTCTCTCAGCCACAAAAGATACTCACCTCAGGTGGCAAATAATTCTTTATCTGCTTCTCCAAAAAGGCTTTTTTTAAAATAGAGTTAATAGAAGGGCGATCTCTTGGAGAAGTTCTAAACAACTGGGATATTAACAATCTCAGATTGGAAGAATACTTCACAGACACAGGAATGAAATGGCCTCTGCAGATCTTCATTATAAGTTGGGGCAAATTGTTGCCTTCAAACTATCACATGAAAATAAAGTCAATATATTAAATCAAAACGGTGATTTAAACAGAAATGCATAAAAGTAGTTACATAAAATAAAGGACAGATGAGGGCAGAATAGTCTTAGTCTTCTTTTAATAGCAGTCCAATTCATCGGATCATTTCATATCTACTATTTCTCACTGATGATATTGTCTGCTTCCCTTATTTGTGAACTACCACCCTGCTTATCAAAAAGAACTACTGCAACAGCAGTCAAAGTATGTTCTACTTTACATTATATTACATTATACCTCAAAAAATCCACTACTAAAACACATTTAAAATGTTAAGGCCATGTGTGATTGATTCTTTCACAAATGGTTGACACCCATTCATATTTATTTGTTTGTTTGTTTGTTTAGCTTATGGTATATCATATGTGGACTAGCAATATATATTAACATTCTACTTAGAGTAGTAATATACAATAAAATATAAATGTTAAAAAGATCAGTGTTCAAATACCAATGTCCAGGCCATCTAACCACTGAAGCGCAGAATTGTTTATATTTTAAAAAATCAGATACTGATCCGGTATATGCCCTCAGCTTACAGCTAGTCACTAAGTGATCGCAGTCACATTGAGGGGAGGATACCATGCTCCATTTATACATCCCGGCAGATGCCATGTGAGGTGCGAATCCTATTCAGGACTGTCCATTGCTGATATGATTGTTCAAAGTGTGGCACCTTTTTTGTGCGGTTTATGTCTGGGCACTCAGCAACCCATTTGGCTTTCCATTTGAGAATCAATGTGAAAGTTGTTGGGTAGATGTTGTGCAAGTGCCAATGGGGGAGTCCTGGATTTGAGTCTTCCAGCTGATAAATGAGAAAGGTTGGCATGCAGTAAGGAGCCAGAAGGAATATTATTCCTCGGTAGGAGTAATAAAACAATAATTTACCAAAAGGCAAGCCAATAAGAATCTTCCATGTTAGAAAAAGAAAAAACACAACAACAAAAAAACAAAACAACCCTCACCCACCCACCCCAAACCACCCCCATCCCCCCCCCGAACTTCCCAGAGCTGGATATAGGCTTAATTAAAATTTTTAAAAATCTTAAAGAAATTGAAAAAATATAAATCATAAGTATATCTAAATAGCTTACATAAACAACTTATAAAATGATTTACAAAAAAGTGTATATAAGAAAAAAGCATGAATATATAAAAAAATAGAAAAAGTACTTCAAAGAAAAAAAAGATAATAATAATAAAAAAGAAAAAAAGGAGGAAGAAAAGAGATAAAAAAAGAGTACAATCTATAAAATATCAAAATTTATATACAAATTATTGAAAAGCTAAATGTTATTTTTTTATATCCAATTTATATTGTATGAAATTTATCCATTTTTCCCATACGGCAGAAAATTTCTCTTGCGATTGCTTCTTTAAGAAAGCCGAAATCTTTGCCATTTCCGCCAAATAAGAAACTTTAAAAAACCACTCTTGCAAAGTAGGCAAAGATTCCTTCTTCCAGTATTGCCCTACTAACAGCCTTGTGGCTGTAATCAAATTTAACATCAATATAACCTCCTTAACATCACAATCAGTAACAATATCTAACAAAAACAATTGTGGAGTGAATTTTACCCTCTTTCTAAAAATTCTTTGAATATTCCACCATATCTTAATCCAAAAAGCTTTTATATTTTTACACGACCACCAAATATGATAATAAGTGGCATCCAAACAACCACATCTCCAACATTTAGGCTGTAAGTCAGGATACATAAGAGACATTTTTTTTGGATCAAGGTGCCATCTATAAAACATTTTATAAAAATTCTCCCTTAAGTTCTGGGCTTGTGTAAATTTAACATTCCTCACCCAAATAGTTTCCCAGGTATCCAGTAGAACTGGTTCACCAAAATTTTGAGCCCATTTAATCATACAATCTTTGATTAATTCTGATTCTGAATCCAGTTCCACTAGAACCCCATAAATTCTCTTGATATGAGTTCACCTTTGATCCTTTACTTGTTTAACAAAATTTTCATCTTCTCTAAGCAAGCCCATGTTACGATCCATCTTCCATCTATCCACTATTTGTCTGTACTGAAACCATGAATAGGTAATATTTTCTTGTGCTAATTCTTCCAAAGATTTTAACTGCCAATTTTGACCATCCCATCTAAGTAATTGTGTATAAGAGACCCTATCCATCTTAACTCCTCTCCTTATCCCCTCTATCGCATGCCCGGGTATAGCCCATAGTGGTATTTTAAAATCACTTTTATAATATTTCCTCCAAATCCGAAGTAGAGAAATCCTTATAATATGAGATTTAAAAACCCGGTCCACTTTTTTATTAAAAATTAAATAGGCATGCCATCCAAAAAGTAAATCCCAGCTTCCGGTGGTTCCAGCGACGACGAATGGCGGCGTTTTACAAAGCCGCCCGTTCCTGGTGCGTGTAAAAGCCGCGGGACTTTGACAATCAGCTGTCCCGCGGCTTGAATCTCCTCCCTGGGAAAAAGGGAGGAGGAGAGCTCTCAGGTAGAGGTAAGAGCTCCCCTGGATTCCTGTTATTTTGGGGATCGGAGGGTAGAGCTCCCTCGGAGCCTGAGCAACTCCGCGTTCCAGGGAGACTTCATTCCGAAGTTTTTGGGATGAAGCAAGTTGCCGCTTCCACATCTGCTTTTTTTTCCAGCTGCTTGTGAGTATTTGAAAGCAGACGGAGCAGACCAGGAGAGACTGTGCTTAAGTTTGATGGTGCCTTTAACTTCAGCAAGTTTCCTCTTCCTTTTCTTTTGTTCACTTTCCCTTTAGAAGAAAGGGAAAGTGAAAACTAAAATGGCGATCGTCTTTCTTGCCTGATTTGCATTACAGAGTAAAACCTGGATACAGATTAACTCTTTAAATACAGAAGTAAGAATTTGGCTTTTATTCTTTCCTCTTTTTTTCTCTATTTTTTTTCTCTTTTTTTTAAGAACACTTAAAAGAACTGTGCCCTTTTTTTTTTTTTCCAATAAGAATCTTTCTTCTTGGAACTTAAGAAAATGGCTTCAAAACGTCTGCCTCCCGCCCCTAAGGTTCCTATTTCTTCTCCAATGCCTCAGCCTGCATCTCAGAAACCAAAATCACCTCCACCTTCTCCTCCTCCTCCTGCAATTTCTCTTAATGATTTACAAGATGCTTTAAAACAGCATGCCTTGGATATTAAGGAGGAGGTAAAAGATCTTATAATTGCAGAGAGGGCTAATACAGAAGAATTATTGGAGAAAAAGAACAAACAAGTAAGAGACCATATCCTTCTGGCCTTTCAGGGCCTAGCCCTGCACATAGAAAGGATTGATGACCAGATGGAAAAGATTACTGAAAATGCATCAAGGATGGAATTTAGAATGCAGGAGGTAGAGAACAAGATAGAAATTACACAGGATGAACAAATCATTTCACAATATAGGGAGATGGAACACGCATTGCGTATCAGAGGCCTGAGGGAGAACCCTCAGGAAGACTTAAAGATGCTTATTGTGAAAGATATTGCTCCTAATATTGGTTGGCGGCCTGAAATAATTGAGAATGAGATAGAAAAAATTTTTAGAGTTAATTCACGGGTTGCTAGACAGAGAAATCTACCAAGAGATGTGGTTATTTATTTTTCTAGAAGATTTATCCGTAATGAAATTATACAGGCTTTTTACAAACAAAAGTTTCAAATTGCTGATCAAGACGTGATAATTTTAAAAGAGATACCTCCAAAAATTTTAAGAGCCAGAAAAGATTTTACTTTCTTGTCTGATGAGTTGAAACATCGTCAAATTCAGTTCAGATGGGAGATTCCAAGAGGAATAATAGTAAATTATGAAGGGATACGTCACAGATTAACTACTGTTTCCAAAGCAAGAGATTTTTATCAGTCTATCTTAAAAGCAAGATTGTCACCACCTCCACAAATAAGGATGACGGAAGAGTCTCTTATGGCAGGAGCCTCATCAATGATGGTTATGGAACAAGCTGCACCGAATTCTGACATAAAAGAGCAAAGGATGACACGAGCTGCCCATAAACGTAAAGAAAAAGAGCAGTTGCAGAAGAGTGGTGAAAGTTTGGTTGTTACAGAGCCTGTGGGAGGGGCAAGACCAAAAAGATCTTCGACAGCAGATCTGCAGGCCATGCTCCAGAGGCTCCAGGCCGGTGGAGATGGTCAGGTTCCTGACCTGGAATGTTAATGGCTTAAACGTGCCCCAGAAACGAAGAAAGATTTTCCATTATTTGAAACAACATAATAATGATTTGATATGTTTGCAGGAGACTCATATAACTTTAAAGGATTCTAAATTCTTGATGAATTCCCGTCTGGGCACACATTTTACTGCTCCAGCCCCTGGGAAAAAAGGGGGAGTGGTAATTTATGTGAAGAAAACTTTTTCAGCTAAACTAATTGAGGCTGATTCTGAAGGAAGATATCTTTTTGTGGAATTATTATTACAAGGCCGAAAGGTTCTTATTGTTGGACTATATGCTCCCAATCAACAACAGAAACAATTTTATAAGTTGCTGCATGGCAAGATATCTCAGTTGGATTATAAATCGGTAATTTTGATGGGTGACTGGAATGGGGTTTTAGACCCAACTATAGACAAAAGAAATTCCTCTAAAACTTTTATTCAAACTAAATTACCTATGACTTTCTTTGATTTGAAGGAAGAATTGGAACTTATTGATATTTGGCGAGAAAGGAATACAAGTGATAGAGACTTTACCTTTTATTCTGATAGACACCAGTCATTTTCAAGGATTGATTTTTTTTTGATTACTAGTGACTTCCTCCCTAGAGTGAGGAAGGTGAAAATTTTTCCTAGAACATTGTCAGATCATAGTCCGGTGTGGATGGAGTTATATTCGGAAGACGGGAATAGAAGATCCTGGAGATTGAATGAGAACTTATTTAATCGGGAGGAGTTCGTACAAAAGTGTAAAGAACATTTAAAGGACTTTTTTACTATAAATATGAATAAGGGAACATCGATGTCTATGGTGTGGGACGCTAGTAAAGCATATATGAGGGGAATTTTGATTCAATTGAATAAAGTTTTTAGGGAAAAAGGGTCACAAAGACGTAGAGAAATAGAAGAAGAGATCAAATCAAAAGAACAAGAGTTGGTTCTTAACCCTACTGATAATAATTTAAAGGTATCTATAAAGATGCTTAAGGAACAATTTAACATGTTGATGGCAGATCAGGTGGCTACCAATCTGTCGTATATGAGACATAATACTTTTTGCAATGCGAATAAGCCTGGGAGGTGGTTGGCTTATCAGTTACGAAAGAAACAGAAAGCTAGAATTATAGAGAAAGTAAAATATAAAGGTACTGAGGTTTTTCAGCAAGATTTGATTAAAAAAAGCTTTTTGGACTTTTACACAAAATTATATTCAAGTGATAATATAAGGGGTTTGGATATAGATAAATATTTACAATCAGTACATTTTCCTAGACTTTCAGAGGAACAACAAAATGGGATGAATAGTTTAATTACTGTGGAGGAAATTGGCTTAGCTATTAAGCAGTTAAAGGTTGGAAAGTCTCCTGGAACAGATGGACTGACTTCTAGGTATTATAAGATTTTATCTGAAGAAATGATAGAGCCACTAAAGGAACTCTTTAATAGTATTTTGTTGGGTATGCAAGTTCCTCCTTCTTGGAAAAGAGCTTTTATATCACTGATTCCGAAGGAAGATCAGGATCTTACAGAGCCTAAGAATTATAGGCCAATTTCATTATTGAATGTTGATTATAAGATCTTTACAAAAATTTTGGCAAATAGATTAATGCAGGTTATGAAAGACTTGATTCATAGTGATCAAGCAGGATTTATAACAGGGAGATATATGAAACATAATGTTAGACAAATTATTAACTTAATTGAGTACTTGGATAAGAATAATCAGATTCCTGTGGCTTTTATCTTTTTGGACGCTGAAAAAGCTTTTGATCAATTGGACTGGCAATTTTTATTTTCTTTGGTAGAGAAAATGAATTTTGGGGATAATTTTTTACATGCACTTAAAGCTATATATCAGCAGCAATCTGCACAAATTGTTGTAAATGGGGGATTGACTGAGAATTTCAATATTCAAAAAGGGACAAGACAAGGATGTCCATTATCCCCATTGTTATTTGTTTTAACATTGGAAATTTTATTGATTCAGATTCGGGAATCGAAGTTAATTAAGGGTGTAAAGATAAGGAAGAATGAGTATAAATTGCGGGCATTTGCGGATGATTTGGTTTTAATTTTGGAACAGCCGAATCAGGCGATTGATGGTTTATTAGAACTTATAACACAGTATGGGAATGTTTCTGGTTTTAAAGTTAATAATTATAAGACTAAGATATTATCTAAGAATATGTCAGTTAAAGAAAGGGAAAGTTTGATTAAAGCCACAGGTTTTCAGATGGTAAAAAAGGTTAAATACTTGGGAGTATATCTAACTGCTTCAAATGGAAAATTGTACAAGAACAATTATGAACCACTATGGGCAAAAGTCCAAAAGGATTTAATAGATTGGAAAAAATTGCAATTGTCATTGTTGGGGAGAATTTCAGCTGTAAAAATGAATGTTCTACCAAAGTTTCTTTTTTTGTTTCAGATGATACCTATTCTTAAAAAAGAGGCAAATTTGGAGGAATGGCAAAAGGGTATCAATAATTTTATATGGGCCGGGAAGAAACCAAGGGTTAAATTTAAGATATTACAGGATGCTCGAGAAAGAGGGGGACTTAAGGCACCCAATTTGAAATTATATTATGATGCAGCCGCCCTAACTTGGTTAAGTGATTGGCTTAATTTAACAAATATGGATATTCTTTTTTTGGAAGGTTGGGATTTAATATATGGTTGGCATGCATATTTAATTTTTAATAAGAAAGTTGATCGGACTTTTAAATCACATATTTTGAGGAATGCCTTACTTCGTGTTTGGAAGAAGTATTATTATAGATTAAATTATAAAATACCTATCTGGGGGATTCCCAGACATGCAATTGAGGGAACCTCTAAGGGGACAAATTTTGATAAAATTTCATATAAAGAATTGTTAATTTGTTCTGGTTCGAATTGGCATTTGAAATCCCTAGATGTATTAAGGCAGCAAAATATTCTACAGTCATGGTTTCAATATTTACAAATAATGGATAGATGGACTGTAGACAAGAAAGAGGGAATAACACTAGAAGATAGACAATTGGTTATTCAGATTAAAAACCAAGGTCCGGCTCATATAAAAAGAATATATAATGTTTTATTAGAGTTAGATTCGGAAACAGAATTGGTTAAAGATTGTATGATTAAATGGGCTCAGAATATACAGGAGCCGATCTCATTGGATTTATGGGAGATAATTTGGATAAGAAATGTTAAATTTACACAAGCTCAAAATTTGAGAGAAAATTTTTATAAAATGTTTTATAGATGGCATTTAGATCCTAAAAAATTATCTTGTATGTATTCCAACATACAGCCCAAATGTTGGAGATGTGGCAATAATGATGCGACATACTTTCATATTTGGTGGAATTGTAAAAAAGTAAAGGCTTTTTGGATTATGATTTGGTGGAACATTCAAAAGATTTTTAGAAAGAAGATAAAGTTTACTCCTCAACTATTTTTACTTGGTATTTTTGTTGACTTAAATGAAAAAGAAACTACTTTGATGTTGAATTTATTAACTGCAGCAAGGTTACTAGTAGGTCTATATTGGAAGAAAGATTCTTTGCCTACTTTAGAAGAATGGATATTTAAAGTATCTAGTTTTGCAGAAATGGCAAAAATTTCTGCTTATTTAAAGGATCATACACAAGAAAGATATATTACTGTATGGGGAAGGTGGATAGATTATATTCAGAAAAAATATGGAATTAAAAAGTTTTATTTATTTTATGAATGAATATCAAATATTATAGAGAATTGTTTTATAAGTTATGGAGTTAAAGGTTAATTATGATATTTTTTTTTCTTTCTCTCTTTTTTTTTCTTTTTTCTTAATTATTATAATTTTCTTTTTCTTTTTTTTTCTTAACCCTGTATTCTGCTCTGGGAAGTGAAGGGAGGGGGGGTGGGGGTGGGAGGGAGGGTAAGGGGGGGTTCTCTATTTTAAAATTTTATTGTATTTTTATAAATGATTGTATGTTTTAAAAAATAAAAATTTTCAATAAAAAAAAAAAAGTAAATCCCAACCCTCCAGATGGAGTATTTCTACATTTGTTAAATTAACCCAGTTTTCCAAGATGTTTTTTAAACAATTGAAAAACTTAAGGGGTAGGGGTTTGCCTAACACAAACTGTCTCCAGAGTTTCTTGTCTCTCATTTTTTTATGCCGCTCATGTGGCAGCCTCTGTTTATTGTTTCAATTGCCTCCTTAGGTTCCTGCTGAACACTGATAGTATATCATTACCTCGTCAGCCTAAATCAGGCATATCAAACTGCCAGCCTGCGGGGCGGATGTGTCAAGCCAAAACTGTGCCCACCCCATTGCTGGCAATGGGGAAAAAAACCATATGTCACGCGACATCATGTGACATCGTGAGTTTGACATACCTGGTCTAAATACTCTAAGACAGGGGTGTCAAACTGCCGGCCCGTGGGCCGGATGCGTCATGGCAAAACCACACCCACCCCATTGGCGACAATGGAAAAAAATCGCGATACGTCCTGACACGTCACGTGACATTGCGAGTTTGACACCCCTGCTTAGGATTTCATTTGTGACCTCAAAACAGAATTTCAACAACACCTGAGTTTTCAAAACCTCTTCATCTCCTGATTTTTACTGGAAATTAAGGGCAGAGTCATTCACATGACTTCACAGAGAAATGCTTAAATTCATTTTTGCTCTACAGGTGAACTGTAGGCCAACATCAGTCCCAGCAAGAAAATCTGACCAGATAACTATAATATGTTGCTTCCCTCTCCATCATAATTCCAGACTCTATAGCATTTTCCCAAGTGCTAAAAGAATCCCAGAGCAAGACAAAAATACCACAGCACAGTTGTGTTCCTAACAGTTTACGTCAAGATGCATATTCTTTCAATAAAACGTATGTAGTCATTATGTCTAACAAAAATTGTTAGCCTTATCAGTTGTGAATTTTTCTATTTCTTTTCTGAAATCGTGGTAGTTTAGACATTTAACGAAACTTTTTTGATGGAGTATTTCTTTCCATGTGAAAAGGGAAACTCACATGATATTACTACTATAAAACTGGTATCTTTCTACACAGTGCAAAATGTTGATTCTAATAGCTGCCACTAAATGATCTCAATAAATATTTACGGTATAAACATTTACTTACAGGATGCTTTAAAGTACACAACTCGTATAACACACAGCCAAGAGACCATATATCTCTACAAAAGAAAATAAGAAATTAGAAGAATTAAAATAATATTTAGTAACCCAGCAAAAACATCTATTCCAACTATTTGGTTATGCAAAAAGTTGATTATTCATATTCTATTTAATATTATTTATAATATACTATTTATTATTTTTAACACATTGTTATTATGGCTACCAATAGTCCTTGCTTAACAAACCGTCGCTCTGATTTTGAAGTTCTGATGATTGCATCCCTCCCAAGATCATGTGATCATATTTTTGGTGTTTTGTCAATTGGCTCACATTTACCAGTCACGTGACCACAACCTCTGGTAATTTTTGCCAGTATCCAGTATTTATTTCCAATTTCTGGCAAAAAAAATACCCACTGAGTATAGTGGATTCATTTAACAACTGCCATAGAAAAGGTAGTAAAATCAGGTGCATGACCAGTGCTTTTTTTGTAAAAAAAAAAAAAAAAGGTGTCGGAACTCACACACATCATACAAACCGCCTTGCCTACCCTACAAGATTCCATCCAAAAAAGGTGCCGGAACTCTGTTCTGGGCGTTCTATGACAAAAAAAGCCCTGTGCATGACCATCATGACTTACAACCAAAATTTTGAGCTCAGTAATGGACATAAGTTGAAGACTACCTGCCTTTGGTTATGAAAAAGTGGTAGCTTCTTCAAAGGTTGTTCTATTGTATTGTAATTAATGCCTGCAAATAGAATATTATTAAAGCAGCTATTGAGGCCAAATAGGGTGTTTTAAAACTGCAAAAAAAACCCAATGTGTGCTTCACAAGAAAGCTGACCTTTTAAGAGTAGTTTCTACAGAGAAGTGTTCAAAAAGTCTGAAGGCAAAGACAGCTTGCAATACCAATGTTTATATTTGCTATCTTTCATTTCAAGAAGGCCTTCAAGAACTGCAGGTCAATTGCCACTTGGAAAGCAGTATGAATGAATTATTTATCAAAAAAGATTCTTGGCTTTTGAGGAGTTATACAGTGAACTGCATGCTCCAAATTAAGGCTTATTAAAATAAAGTTGGAAGAAACAACTATTTGCATAAAAAACAGGTTTAATTCTTAAATATAGAAGACTTTTTAACAATTCCTGAAAGTTGACTTGACAGGAACAAGAGTCACTATAAAATTTGCCCATTTTTTTAAACTCATTTTTTTCCAATTTCACCATCCCTCTCTGTCTTTCTCCACAAAGATAGAGGTATGTTCTGAAACTTACGTTTTATTATTATATGGTTTGTTTTCACAGATTTCAGGTGATAGGTAATATGGTGTTCCTACACAGGTACTAGCAAATTCCATTGTGCTAAAGAAAATAGCAAACAGAAAAAAGTATTTCTTTTCTTTGAAAATAATGTGATTAATGAAGCTATCTAGAGAAATCACAAAAGACATAACTTAGTCCATTATTTGAAAGGCCCTACAGGTGAGTCCATTCAAGGCCTGATTGAGATAGCAAGGTCTAAATAATTTACAAGTAACCATGATTTCAATTTCTGGTTTAGAGCATATTAAAGAGTTTCCCAATTTCAAATGTACAGGTAATGGGAAACCACTGTTTGAAAATGCACTGTTTCTAATTTCTTTTCTCATGTACAAAGGAAGAAGGAACTTCTAGATGAAATCCAAATTTTTACTGCACATCTTTTCAATAAGACATTTCACAAAGTTAATGTCTGACCAATTCTATGCCTTGTTCACTGGAATTTTAAATGGAATAAACTCATCCAATGTTTACCTAATACCAGTGGTTTTTTTGTAAAAAAATAAATAAAAAAGGTGCCGGAACTCACACACGTCATACAACTCGCCCTGCCTACCCTACAAGATTCCATCCAAAAAAGGTGCCAGAACTCCGTTCTGGGTGTTCTATGACAAAAAAAGCCCTGCCTAATACTAAGGGAATAACATTATCCATAAAAATATGCTTACTTGTTCAACATCCTTGCAATGCCAAAATCTCCCAATTTTGCTGTTTTTCCATCATTGCTAAGAAAAATGTTCTGTAAACAAAATACACCATAATTAAAAGTGGATGCATGTTTTATGTCTCAGAGATGATGCTAAAAACTCTCTCCCCAAATTACCTGTGTTTTTATGTCTCTGTGCAGAATCTTCCTGTCATGTATATGCTTCAGGCCTAAGGCAACTTGCACGAACCAACCCAAGATCTAAAGATAAAGATAAAATATCAATACTTCATAAAACACAATTGTTAAATTTTTTTCAAGAATACAGTCTTGGGAAGGAAACAAAGAGTTCACTATTTTAAATATATACATATACAGAAGTGTGACACAGTGGACTACAGACTTATTAAAATGTCAAGGTTAGAACCTATTCTCTCTCTCTCTCTCTCTCTCTCTCTCTCTCTATCTCTCTCTCTGTGTGTGTGTGTGTGTATATATGTAACAGAGAAAGGGGGGGAGGGAGACAGTTTTTATTTTGAGATCTTTTGAGATTGCTGAATTTGCATATATCAAAAGGTTTCAGGGAATCTCTCACTCAGTGATGCTGTTTGTTTTTCCAAGCTGGCCATTTTGACATCTGTCCCTAGAGCAGGGGTAGGCAATCTTTGTTCTTTTATGACTCATGGACTTCAACTCCCAGAATTCCTGAGCCAGCACAGCTGGCTCAGGAATTCTGGGAGTTGAAGTCCATGATTCACAAAAGAGCCAAGATTGCCTAACCCTGCCCTAGAGACTAAAATATTGCTATATTAGTTTGTCCTGGCTTTGAGTCTTGACTTAACATCCATTAATTCTTTTGCACAAAACATATTATAAAGCACATTAGAGGAAGCACGTGTGAAGGCCCTTCTAATCTTGGCACCTTCACATGGTCTTCCTGCAATGTGATCCTGGCTAATCAGAATTGGTTTCAGATGGAGTTGGCAATTCTATTGGAGAGCACCTGATGAGGCAAGACTGCCTTACCCTTTCATCAGCATTATTGTATTACAAATGAAACATATGTTTGAAGTATGCAATCTTGGAGTTGACATAGTTAGAAATACTCAGCATTGCCCAAGTTTTTTTATCTATTTTATCTTCTATTAATTATGGAATCTGTCCTAAATTTTGGCTTATCTTCCTTTCAGGTAAATATATTATGTGGAATTCTATCTTATTAAAGCATAATTACACAGTAATATAAAAATAAATAAAACACAATGTAAGCCAGGATCTCCACTTTGAATGTTTTGCTGTGATGAACAATGAAGGGAATATAAGTGAAAATATTCCTCAAATTACAAACTTACTTTATCCTCATCAAAGAGCACTCCACATTGCATATTTATTCTTTTCATTAGGTCACCTCCATTGCAATATTCCATCATAATATACAAGTTATTTTTCTCTAAAAAACATAATAAATTAGGTTTTGAGCCATTAAAAGAAGTACACAGTATAAAACAGAAGGGGGAATCCTGCTGGATTGGATCAAAATTCCACCTTTTCTAGTATTTTGTGTCCTAGGCTGGCTGAAGATGCAACTGAAAAGCTCACCAAAAGGATATAAAGGCAAAGCCTGTTGCTGCTACTGCTATTAACAGCATATTTTGGATTTGAAGCATGCAATCTTGATTCTGTAATATACCGTACATTAGACATGTCAAACACAAGGCCTGGGGGCTGGATGCGGCCCATGAACTGGTTTCATGTGGCCCGCGAAGCCATCCTGGAAACAGTGAGGGAATGGCCCCCACTGCTTTGGCCCTGGCCCAGGCTGGCTGGGAGCCAATGTACAGTTTTGTGGTGGCCATCTATGCTGAAACACATTCAGTCTTAGCTCCACAAGGCCATCTGGAAACAGCGAGGAACCACCCTCTGCCATGTCGGCCCCACCCACTGGGTGCATGCTGGGGAGGTGTCACCCTTGAGGAATAAAGAAATGCACCATCACCTGGAAGTGGCCAGCAAATAGCCCTCGCCTACTTCACATATCCGGCTTGATGGGCTCTGCCCTGGTCCCACCCCTTTCTGCCAGAGACCCTCAGATCTGTCCCACTCCTGCCCAGGCTCCCACAGGCACCCTTGACGCGAATGATGTAGAGCTGGCCATGCCCACCCAGTAGGCCACACCTATTCTATCCACGCCCACCCAGTAGGCTGTTGCTCAGTGAGACATTCATTAAGTGAATTTTGCTCCATTTTACAACCTTTCTTGCCACATTTGTTAAGTGATCATGGCAATTGTTAAGTTAGGAACATGGTTGTTAAGTGAATCTGGCTTCTCCATTGACTTTATTTGTCAGTAGGTCGCAGAAGATCCTGGGACACTGCAACCATCATAATTGAGTCAGTTGCTAAGAGTTTGAATTTTGATCACATGATCATGGGAAAACAGTCATAAGTCATTTTTAGGGCCCTTGTAACTTAGAATGGTCATTAAATGAACAGTTGTAAGTCAAGGACTACCTGTAACTATAAATCGCAATGATACCTTGAAGGGAAGTGTAGAAAGCTACAATATTGGGATGCTTCATCTTGGCTAGAAGAGTTGCTTCTTTCTGAGATGATTCTTTTTCCTTCCTTGGCATCTTTATTTATTTAAAAAGATAGCAACACGAGTTATGTTATTATTTATGTGACTGTATGGAAATACCACAAAGATATTTAAAGAATTCTGAATGCTGCTTAGTGTAATTTCCCCTAAATTGATGACCTCTGAACAAATCTTATATTTCTAATAAAAGTTATTGTTGCTTGGGAATTAATGTGAACTGTGTTCCCATTTTTTTGTTGTATTAACATAATTTCACAATTAAAAATTACTAATTTCACATTATTTAAAGGAAGTCTGATTTATCAGGAAAGGACATCCTAAGCCAGGGGGTGTCAAACTTGCATGTCACATGACGTGTTGTGACGTATCGCGACTTTCCCCCCATTGCCGGAGTTGGGGTGGCCGCGGTTTTGGCAAGATGCATCCGGCCCACGGGTCGGCAGTTTAACATCCCTGTTCTAAGCTTATTATTCTCATTCATAAGTAGTGTAACACACATTTCATCAGTTTCTTTCAACATCCTTTAAGAAACAGACTACTTCCTTAAAGGCTATATATAATATTTTCAGAACTTTAAATTGTCATGGAACCTCAGAAACAGCAATTGCAATAACACATTGAATTCATTATCACAAGCACTCAGACATAAAACAAACTTACTTTCAGTTGTACAAAAGCATTAAAAATGCTTCTTCAAAACTTAATCTTATGTCAAATATTCAAACAAATTGTGAGGTATCTGTCTAAAATATTGCTAATGTTACTGTTTCTGCCCTTAAGCAGATCTTTCTATGATTGACATCTTCACCATGGATCAAAAGTATACATGTTATATAGAGAACTATTGTAAAATATAAATATTACCTTAGTTAAATTGATCTCCTTGATAACACATTGTTGATTATCCTCTTTTTTTCTGGCTAAGAATATTTTGCCAAATGCTCCTTCTCCAATCATTTTAATTATTACATAATTATCCATGATTCTGAGTTTTGGAAAAATATCAAAAACAAAAAGAATGAAGAAGTTAATATTTAAACCCCAAACTTTACCTCAAACTGTAACCTTTAATTCTTCCACTGCAGATTTTTTTTTCTTAATATTATCTATTTTTCTTGGGCAGATACTCACAACTGAAAGAGCAGTATCCCTACCCTTTTAAGTGAAGCAGTTGCAAAACAGGGGAAGTTATTATTTCAGATGCATTATTATGAAATGTGCACATTATAAAATGACAGAATTCTTGGACTTCAGAGGACGAAAGTGTGTTATACGTGAAAAATCATGCTATTTGTAGTCTTATGGTTTATTCAAGTCACTAGAGATGTTTTGACAACTAACTACATCTGACCTAACTCTTCTGATGGCACCAGGTTGGGAAAGGCAGCCGCCTCGCACATAACCTATTTAACAAATCTCTGGTTAGTGGCTGGATCCAGATGAAAGACACCTTAGGTTCTGCATGCAAGTTGCATGACAGAAAAAAAAAACTATAGACAAACATACTGTACAACCGATCATAACAACACTTTTGACTGGTTATATTATTCCAGATTCCTTTCCAAGCAGATTCAAGAGTACTGTATCTCTAGAAAATGGAACCCTTGATCTATTTTCCCTCGAAGTGAAGGATCCTTCACACAATCCATCAATTAATGCAGATGTGAATTCGAGGTGAGTGGCAGTTCTAGTAGACTGATAAAAACTAAGCACTTCTCTTATTCTGAGACGCCTTAAAATGGACGCAGGCTACAGCTTTCCACACACTTTACCCAGGAGTAAGCCCCAGTTATCTATTGAGGCTTACTTCTGAGCAAACCTCTGTAAGTTTGGGTTGATAACCTCATTAAGAGAGAAGCTTAAACTATCCCTTCCCTCTACGGGGGAGGCGGGCAATTTCCCAGCCTGTCTCAGCACTTCCGCTTCTCCGTTGCCAAGGAAACTGAACTGACGCGCGCCCCCGCGCGCAGGTTCCCTGCCTGTTCGCGCTCCGCAGCTTTATCTTCTCTGTCGTTCACCCGCCGCCGGGACGCTTCCCTGCGCCCTGAGATGGGGGAAGAGTCCTCCAGAACCAAAAATATCAACTTATACCCCCTAAACTACCTTAAGGTCTCAGACGGTGGAAGAAGTAGCTTCTTCAGCGCCCGCGGAGGCGTGTTTTCTTTACACCCCGCCCTATTGTCCGGGGTCATGGATCGGCTTCTGCAGCCTTCCGCAACCTGACGCCTTTAGTGTGTTAAAACTACAACTCCCATCATCCCTCTTTAGCATGGTTCTATTATAGTCGAAAAGAACTACAGTACTAGTAGGTATCAGGCTGAAGGGCACGTTTGTAGAAAACAATAACTCTAGAGCAGGGGTAGGCAACCTTGGCTTTTATGATTCGTGAACTTCAACTCCCAGAATTCCTGAGTCAGCCTGGGCTGGCTCAGAAATTCTGGGAGTTGAAGTCCACGAGTCATAAAAAAGCCAAGGTTGCCTACCCCTGCTCTGAAGTTTGCACACCACCTCCTCGCGTTGATCTCCCACCCCCTTCAAATTTCCAATTATTTCATACTTCCGTAATAACCTCACAAAATGCAGAGGGCAGAATGTTGCTTTAGCCAAGCTGCACAGTGAATAGATACTAAGTTTGATTGGTTTAAACCGAATTTACTCCCAGATAACTGAAGGTTTTAACTAATTATACTTTAAACTGTGCATGAGCTTCAGCTCCCAGAAAGTTAAGAACATTCTGCTTGCCAAGCACCTTCACATCTGGAAGTCACCAAAGCTGAGAGCCCAGCTTTTAAAAAATTTCATTAGAATATATTTCTTTTTAACATTTCAATAGGTATCCTGGGGGTGGGAGTCTCTTGCAGCAGAACATTCTTCAAAAGCTGTAACATTTATTGGAGTTTTTACTAGTTTAGCATTTTCAATTCATATAAAAAGAATATAATCCCTAAAGTGTAATATTCTGTATGAAAAAATATGTATTTTTGTTAAATACATAATTTGGTACTTGAACATTCCCCCCCCCCAAAAAAAGAGATTTTTAGCTTTGTGCCTTTTTCACTGACATCTTTTTAGCAGATAACCATATGAACACATGAACTTCCATATGCAAGAACAATGGAGATTCAGATTTTGGGGTCACCTGTAATCATTCATATTGAATCTTTTGTGTGTTGCATGCTTGAGCCTAACAGATTTTTTTCAATTAGGTAGTTATCTTAACAAAAACAATCCCTCTCCATAACCATCACTAAAATATAAATCAAACACATATAGTAGCTTACCAATTGCGTAAAGTAATGAATTGAAAGTATTGTTATAACATTTTCAGACTTACACCACAAGGTTTAATACCAAGGGACAATGTCTAACCATGAGCATCTACGGGAGGGGACAAATGATAACATATGTACAATTACATGATGCAACTTTCTTATATACATTAACCAAATGTAGCCACTTTCTATTTGCATAACAGTAGGCATATGTAATTTTGACATCATGACTTATAGATTTCTAAAGTTAACATATCTATTCCAATTCTCTTCCATAATTCATATCCGGCATGATCAACTAGGCTGCCTAAGATGGAAAGAAATTCAAAACATCTACTGAAATCCAGTTTAAGGAAGATACATTAAGAGTCTGAAAGTTTGATTTTTACTAGATTAAATTTAACACATAAATTTCATGATCAGCACCAACTGTAGCTATTTTAAGGTAACTATAGTAAATTAAATGTATTAAATAATATATTAGTAAAACTTCATGCTAATTGTAATAAATAAAATTACATACTAATTTTATTATATATTTAATAATGCAATATTTATTTATTAACAACTGTAAGTTGCCCAGAATTTAGTACAAGATGAGAAGCTATATAAATGTTTAAAATAAACAAATAAGCAGTCCTTGGAGGGATAACTAGATTCTTTTGCAAAAATTCTGATAGGACACCATTGTAATGGCAGGATTGTTTGTTTGGTGATTAAGCTGCCAACATCTATCCTGCCAAGAATCAACTGGCCAAGTCCTCCTTGGATATCCTATCTAGGATAAATAGGGCTCTCCAAGCACCAGCTCCCTAACTGCATTCAATGAATTAAGATTATATAACAGAAGAATAAGAAGCAGGAATTGATGAAAGACATGGCTCCTGAAATCATACTGATGAAAGACATGGTTCCAGAAGATATCATTTTGGAAATTAGGAAGAATTGAAATGAGAATGTTTATTAACAATTACAAAACACACAATCAAATAAAAAGATGAGTTGTAATTAATGCTAATATCTATTTAGATATTGCCACATTCTGAAATCCAGACTCAATCTTCCCTGAAGCCTGGCCATTTTAAGTCCACCACTCAAAGGACTAGGAATAGAGAGAGACAACATGAAAGTCATATTTTGCTTTCTATATCTCAGAAGGTGCTATTCCTAGTCTGAATTCTAATATGGTATGTTTCTGATTTTGACATATTTCTGATTTTGACAGAATATTTCTATACTGGGTAAAGAATTCTATGTAAAAATGCTTATTTTAGTATTCCTAAGAATGTAATTGCTATGCCTTTTTTTGCATCAAAAAATAACCCAAATTAAATTTGCTTCCTCATCATGTGAAATCATCATGTGTCAATTGGTTTGCTGCTGCTAGTTTCTGAAATGGTTCAGCAATATTTTTGCACTGAAACTGGATTATTTATTGGTACTTCTTTCTTCAGTTCCATTGGTTTGATCATCTTTTGTAATTCAGAAATCCAGTCTGGATCGTCTTCTGCTTCAAAATCCCTACGAAAATATAAAGAATAATTAAGTGGAGGAAAGGGAGATTATCATTTAAAGAAATTCGTAACTACTAAATACATGTATTTTCTGATTAGAAACCCTCGGGACTCCCAGAAGGTAATTTTACTATTAAAATTATTCTATAAGTTCTAAAATCTTTCTGTACAATCTGTTCTAATGTCTATTACAGTCAAAATGCATATATAATACTGTATGTGCTTGAAAGACAGAGATTATTTTTCTCTGGGAAACGTTTTGAATGTCTGAAACAAATATTTATGTTCTCTGTTTAATTTTGCCTGTTTGAGAACTTTCATTGGTCACACATCAGCTTTATGATTCTGTTCTTAATAATCTTCAATATTTTTATTGGTAGACAAAGGCCACAACATATAAATTAGATACTTTTCTGTGCTAGTGGGCTCCTTGAAAATACAGAATAGTAAATATGTAACACCCACCGTATTCTTACATAAAAGACAGATATGAGTTCAAATGTCATGCTCTGGTGATAGCATAATACACTGTATGGTAGATCACTTCTGATGATTTTCAATTTTTCATGTTTTAAGAGAGACTATAATTTCATGAGATTATAATGTCATGAAATTCATGTATCATAAAATTTAAGATTCAGAATTTGTTCTACATATTACTTATTATAGTATACCTGCTCCTAAACTGAATGAGGAATGTATCACATTGAGTGACAAGACTTCTGCTGATTGAAACAGAATTGGGGGGCAAAGGGGGAGGAGAGATCTAAAAGTAGATAAATACAACTCAAAAATGGCATGAAGGTGCAATTGGATTTTTTTTTAATGAGACATGTTTGCATTGAAGAAAAATAGAAAAGCATTCCAACAATTAGTTTTTCAAACTGTATTTCAACATACGTGTCTTCTTCATCTGATCTAGGTTCAAATCTCTCTGTATCCTCCATAAAAGTTTCACCATCTGGTTCATCAGATGCGTTGTTTTCTCCTGTAAGTGGTCCTCTCAGTAGGTCATCTGAAGCTTTAATATTTAAAAATCAGTGCAAATGTTCATGGTTATTTCCATTCAGACATTTTAAAAATCAGTAAGAAAATCAATAAAACTGTATCTTGCTCCCTTATTTTTTCACGTAGCACTTAAACGCGACCTGCCAATTCCCACTATTTCCTCATCCACCAACAATCTGATTCCCTATTCTCATCAGGAGAAATCAATGAGCAAATGAAAAGAAACAATCAAACAAGCACTCCATTGCTAAGATAACCCTCCCGCACCCCCTCTTTACATCTCCCATCCAGAGCAGCTATAATCCCCATTGCGTGCAAACCATATTAAAACCACCAGCTAACTCCAGCTCCCACTGAGACTCAGCACCAAGGTTTAATTACATCCTATCCTAAATACCTCAGAAGGTAGTGAGAGCAGGTAGACCAGTTCATTCTGGGACAGCAGGCAAAAGATTGTTCATTGTTGCTGCAGCCAAGAAAAGTAGTTTTCTGCAGCTCTGCTATAATTGACAAACTACCTAACAACGTATCTCTGGGCATTCAGGAATAGCTGATAGATCGCTCTTCTGCTGTTCCACTGTGGCCACATTCACTATTTCCACCACTTTTGCTGCCACCACTATAACCTCTATTTGCCATTTCGGAGAAGAGCATTCAGTGCAGTTATAAGACCACCCACCAGTTCACCATGTCGAAAGACGGTTCCACCTTCCCACTGAAGGTGCCATCCAGAGAACTCAAAGCTGAAATCCACAGCAACTATGCTGGTTCACTGAAGCTTCAGAAACTCTAATTTCATTTTTGTAAGACCTTCCCTAAAAGCACCTATTCTAAGCACACTAAATGGACCTCACTATGATGAGAAAAAAAAGATTTACCTGCTTTGTGGATTGTGTATGTCTTAAAAGCTAAGGCAACATCAGCATTATGAAGAATATTCATCAAAGTTTGTGAAGGTTCCTTATTCCATTGTTTACGTGTGATGTTTTCATCATATTTTCTCACACAGCCACCTAATTAAAAGGACAGAAATACAGATTATTGGAGAAATTATCCTTTTTCCAATCTCAAACTATAGAACTTCAAATAATCACCTTAAACCATTGCCAGAAACCTTCCAAAAAGAATGTTATAATACTACATACCATAAATAAACTTAAGATCACAAAAAATGAAACTCTTTTTTTAAACCAGTAATTCCCATTTTGGTGGTGGACAAGCAGAACTACATTCAATTTATTTAGCTACTGTATGTTTAGTGAACCATGCCAAGGTATAGGTAAGAAAGCATGCTTATCTTTTGAGTGAAAGTACACTTTAACTGATCCACTGTGGGCACAATTAATTCACTATCCTAAATTCAT